GGAAGGAGATTCTACCACCTCCCTAGGTAACGCATTCCAGTGTTTCACCACCCTCTTAGTGAAAAAGTTTTTCCTAATATCCAATCTAAACCTCCCCCACTGCAACTTGAGACCATTACTCCTCATTCTGTCATCTGCTACCATTGAGAACAGTCTAGAGCCATCCTCTTTGGAACCCCCTTTCAGGTAGTTGAAAGCAGCTATCAAATCCCCCCTCATTCTTCTCTTCTGCAGGCTAAACAATCCCAGCTCCCTCAGCCTCTCCTCATAAGTCATGTGTTCTAGACCCCTAATCATTTTTGTTGCCCTTCGCTGGACTCTCTCCAATTTATCCACATCCTTCTTGTAGTGTGGGGCCCAAAACTGGACACAGTACTCCAGATGAGGCCTCACCAATGTCGAATAGAGGGGAACGATCACGTCCCTCGATCTGCTCACTATGCCCCTACTTATACATCCCAAAATGCCATTGGCCTTCTTGGCAACAAGGGCACACTGCTGACTCATATCCAGCTTCTCATCCACTGTCACCCCTAGGTCCTTTTCCGCAAAACTGCTGCCTAGCCATTCGGTCCCTAGTCTGTAGCGGTGCATTGGATTCTTCCATCCTAAGTGCAGGACCCTGCACTTATCCTTATTGAACCTCATCAGATTTCTTTTGGCCCAATCCTCCAATTTGTCTAGGTCCTTCTGTATCCTATCCCTCCCCTCCAGCATATCTACCACTCCTCCCAGTTTAGTATCATCCGCAAATTTGCTGAGAGTGCAATCCACACCATCCTCCAGGTCATTTATGAAGATATTGAACAAAACCGGCCCCAGGACCGACCCTTGGGGCACTCCACTTGATACCGGCTGCCAACTAGACATGGAGCCATTGATCACTACCCGTTGAGCCCGACAATCTAGCCAGCTTTCTACCCACCTTATAGTGCTTTCATCCAGCCCATACTTCCTTAACTTGCTGACAAGAATACTGTGGGAGACCGTGTCAAAAGCTTTGCTAAAGTCAAGATACAATACATCCACTGCTTTCCCTTCATCCACAGAACCAGTAATCTCATCATAAAAGGCGATTAGATTAGTCAGGCATGACCTTCCCTTGGTGAATCCATGCTGGCTGTTCCTGATCACTTTCCTCTCATGCAAGTGCTTCAGGATTGATTCTTTGAGGACCTGCTCCATGATTTTTCCAGGGACTGAGGTGAGGCTGACCTCACTGAGGCTGAGGTGAGGTCGGGGTTCCAGGGGTGTGTCTGTGCGGATTTGATCTTGTGCTTTTTCAGGAAGTTTCTTGAGCAAATGCTGTAGTTGCTGGATTTGTGCAGGAAATGGCCCAACTTGATTATCATGCACATTGTGTAGAGAGTTGTCACTTTGGATGGGCTATCACCAGCAGGAGAGTGAATTTGTGTGTGGGGGGTGGAGGGTGAGAAAACCTGGATTTGTGCTGGAAATGGCCCAACTTGATGATCACTTTAGATAAGCTATTACCAGCAGGACAGTGGGGTGGGAGGAGGTATTGTTTCATATTCTCTGTGTGTATATAAAGTCTGCTGCAGTTTCCACGGTATGCATCCGATGAAGTGAGCTGTAGCTCACAAAAGCTCATGCTCAAATAAATTGGTTAGTCTCTAAGGTGCCACAAGTACTCCTTTTCTTTTTGCGAATACAGACTAACACGGCTGTTACTCTGAAACCTGTCATTCTAACACTGACTCTTTCTGTGGCCCTGTGCAATTAACCTCTCTTGGAGCCAGTGTCACCATTTGTAAATGTTTCCCTAGAACATTGTAAGGATTAGGTAATCGATATGTCTAGAGAATCTTAAGGATACAGCTCAAGCTCCCAAAATGAGGGAATGGCAAAATTAAGGTTGCACATGCACCCTAAACTCTACTTATTGTACAATCTTTAATTACATAATCACTATCAGTTCTCAATAATACAATATAGCCTATTATAGTTGGGTTTTTTGTGTAGTGTCTTGTGGTATGACCACTCTTCTGTGTATGGACAAAGGGACCATACATTTATATTAATATTAACATTATAGTGAATATTACAGTCCTGCCCAAATTCCACAGTCAGGATTGAAGCTCCACTGTGCTAAGCAGTACAAACACATATGTAGACATGGTCTCTTTTCCAATGGGCTTAAAGTCTAATTCAGAAAAGTACACAGTAAAGAGTAATTGTGACACTTTAGAGACCTTATGGAGCTTACTTCAATTCGTGATCATTTTTCTCCTCCCCGTGCACAGTATGACTCCAAGGCTCAAGTGCTGTGCAAGGCCTTGTGCAGTTCCTCCACACTTAAATGGATTTCACCGTGAGCATTGAGAATATTGTTTAGAGAAGTGGTTCTTAACCAGGAATACACATACTCCTGGGGTATGCAGAGGTCTTCTACAACAACTCACCTAGATACTTACCTAGTTTTATAACAGGCTACATAAAAAGCACCAGTGAAGGCAGTACAAACTAAAATTTCATATGACTTGTTCATATTGCTCTAGATACTATACAGTGAAATGTAAGTACGTTTATATTCCAACTGATTTATTTTATAATTATATGGTAAATATGAGAAAGTAAGCAATTTTTCAGTAATAGTGTGCTGTGACACTTTCATATTTTTATATTGGATTTTGTAAGCAAGTAGTTTTTAAGTGAGGTGAAACTTGGGTACACAAGACAAATCAGACTCCTGACAAGGGTACAGTAGTCTGGAAAGCCACTGGTTTAGAGAACACCCTTTCCTATAGTTTCCAAAGTCTTGCCTTTTGCTCACCTCTTCATACATTCAGATAAACAAGACCACGTCATTAAACAGTGCATGAGTCTTTGCCTGGTTCTACTCCCTTCACTAGTCCCTCTGTTCATTTACTATTGGTTTCCTCTTCACCAATCTCACCACTGCTTGAACTAAACCTGACTCTGCTGGCATTTGTGCCAGCTGATCAGTCTTCTCTCCGTTTCTCTGCCTCATCTACTTTCCACCCCACCTCATGCCGACTCTGTGGGTTCTCCAGGGCCGGAGCACCCATGGAAAAAAATCAGCAGGTACTTAGCACCCACCAGCAGCCAAGCTCCTCTCCCACCCTCCCACTCACGCGGCATGCAGGAGGCACTGGGAGGGAGGGGTAGGGACAGGGATGGGGTGTGCTTGGGGGAGGGATGGGAAGAGGCAGGGCGGGGTGGAGCAGGAGGCAGGACGAGGCAGGCTAAAGGGTGGATCTTGGGGAAGGGGTGGAGTGGGGGTGGGAACTGGGCCTGAGCACCCCCAGGGAAAATTAGGAGCTGGTGCCTGTGTCCAGATGTCCTGATTTTATAGGGACAGTCCCGATATTCAGGGTTTTTTCTTATACAGGAAACTATTATTCCCCATCCCCTTTCCTGATTTTTCACAGTTGCTATCTGGTCACCCTATCTGAAAACAAATTTTTCTCCCTTACCAGCACCTTTTAACTAATAACAGGTGGAAGGAGAAATTTAACTGTATTTAAAGAAATGGAACCAGCCTTCAGTATAAATTAACCATTTACACCTGCTGTCCATAGATTCAAGGGATCACTCTGTCACTGGAGATCTCCAGTCACCTGTCCACAGTGAGGCACGTGCGTGTGTGTGTGTGAGAGAGAGTGTGAGACAGAGAGAGAGACGGAGGTGTTCAGTTGTTGCACTGGCTCTATCACATCTGGGGAATTCCCAGGTACCCATTTAAAACGTATTCCCAGCTGTTATGTGCTGCTGGAGTAGGGCTAGAGTCACAGGAATACAAAGAAAAGGAGTACTTGTGGCACCTTAGAGACTAACAAATTTATTTGAGCATAAGCTTCCGTGAGCTACAGCTCACTTCATCGGATGCAAATCATCCCATGAAGTGAGCTGTAGCTCACGAAAGCTTATGTTCAAATAAATTTGTTAGTCTCTAAGGTGCCACAAGTCCTCCTTTTCTTTTTGAGAATACAGACTAACATGGCTGCTACTCTGAAACCAGGAATACAAAGGTGGCTTGAAGACACCTCCCCTGCCTTGTTCTTATATTGAGTGCAACTCAGCTGGACCAGAGAATCTGGCACATTTTGTATTTCATATCATTTGAATCCTACAATTCGTTGCAAGGTTAAATACGATTATATAGTTAAATAGTAACAGAGATGAAGGGAGAGATTAAAAAGTGGCAGCAAGGGAGAACAGAAATGAGATAAGAATACACGAAATAAAGTAGTACCGCATGGAAGGAAACACGGACAAGTGGGAGAGTATTATGAGGAGAAAATCTTCTTGTCACATTACAAAAAAGTTAAACAAACATGACTCTTGTCAGGGGCTGGTAATGGGACGTGGAGACTTTTCACATCAAGCCCGGTTGATTTCGCTGAGTTACCAGACGACTGTTTGGTGGTCCGTGTAAATAGTGTTGGACCCGGTCTCAGTCCAGTCCCTGGTGCCAGCTACCGCTGGGGCTGAGTTGGGAGTGTTGGTGGACTTGGCAGAAACACCAAGGATTATTACTTATTAGTTATATGACATTAAAACTTCACCAGGCACTTTATACACAGCGAAGGGGGGGAGGGGCTGTCCACAAGCACCTGAGGGAGCGTTAGGAACCCAAGTCCCATTGAAAGCCAACAACTACTTGGGGGCCCTACTTCAGGGCCTCACCTTTTCCAGGCATCTATGGCAACGTTTCCAATATCCATAACTTCCTTAGCATCACAAATCGCTGACAACGTGAACCCCCCCCCCCCCCCCAGAGCAATGGCGGCTCGCCACGCCCCCCACAGCAATGGCGGCCCAGGAGCCACGTCCCCACCGCCGCAGGGCAATAGGGGCCCAACCCCTTCTGAGTAACCGCGCCCCTGCAACCAGCCCACATCACCAGAGAGCAACAGCAGCTCGACCACCGCCTCACCCCGCCGCCGAGCGCACCGGCCCGGGGAGCGTGCAGAGTCACGTGATATCCCCTCGCCCTGCCATTGATCGCTGCGGGGGCGCGTAGATGGTTCCCACAATGCTTTGCGGCAGGCGGACGTGGTCCTGCGGCCGATGCCGCGGCTCCGGTGAGGCAGGGAGTTCGAAACGGTCGGCTACGCCTCGCAGAGCAGTTGCCTAGCAACAGACCCAGGCCCGCCCGACCAGCCGGCCGTGCGGGGCGCGCAGAGGCGGCTCAGGTGGGAACTGGGGCCGGGATGGGGCGGGGCGCCCCTCCCCCGGGGGCCTTGGGTGCGACAGCGATGGGCTTCCCCTGGGTGCAGGTAGGGGGGCAGCATAGGGATGGGTCTCCTCCTCCCCGGGGACCTGGGCACAAGTTGGGGGCACGGATAGGGATAGCGGTGGGGCGTGTGTGTGTGTGTGTGGGGGGGGGGGTATTGCAATGGAGGCATTATTCCACCTGCCACTTGCCTGTCAGAGATAAGGAGGCATAAACCTGCCTACGGCCTCTTCCCCGTAGTGTAAGGTTGCGATAGGTGCCTTGGCACCTCCAGGCCCTGGGCGTGAGTACAAATGCTGCTCTGCAAAACAGCTGGGACCTGTGTTTCCTCCCACTCCTCCTTCCATGGACCAAGTGCCATGTTATGGGTGCAACACAGGGGTGTGTGTGTGTGTGTGTTGGGTAGTTGCTGTAGCCAAAAGTTTTTTTTAAGGTGCAGTTTGTGAGAAGGAGGCAGTCCACACACACCCCCTCTCCCCCGTGATGTGGGTTATCCATAACACCTCAAGATCAGGTTATTGTACTGCACTCTACATGGAATTACACAATGATATTACTTGGAAATGGAAACTAGTGCTGAACTTGGTAGCCTGCTTATTAAGCATAATTTTATAATTACAGGTTTCAGAGTAACAGCCGTGTTAGTCTGTATTCGCAAAAAGAAAAGGAGTACTTGTGGCACCTTAGAGACTAACCAATTTATTTGAGCATGAGCTTTCGTGAGCTACAGCTCACTTCATTGGGTGCATACTGTGGAAACTGCAGAAGACATTATATACACAGAGACCATGAAACAATACCTCCTCCCACCCCACTCTCCTGCTGGTAATAGCTTATCTAAAGTGATCATCAAGTTGGGCCATTTCCAGCACAAATCCAGGTTTTCTCACCCTCCCCACCCCCATACACACACAAACTCACTCTCCTGCTGGTAGTAGCTCATCCAAACTGACCACTCTCCTTACAATGTGCATGATAATCAGGGCGGGCCATTTCCCATAAATCCAAATTTAACCAGAATGTCGGGGGGTGGGGGGGGGAAACAAGGGGCAATAGGCTACCTTGCATAATAACTTAGGCACTCCCAGTCTCTCTTTAAGCCTAAATTAATAGTATCCAATTTGCAAATGAATTCCAATTCAGCAGTTTCTCGCTGGAGTCTGGATTTGAAGTTTTTTTGTTGTAAGATAGCGACCTTCATGTCTGTGATTGCGTGACCAGAGAGATTGAAGTGTTCTCCGACTGGTTTATGAATGTTATAATTCTTGACATCTGATTTGTGTCCATTTATTCTTTTACGTAGAGACTGTCCAGCTTGACCAATGTACATGGCAGAGGGGCATTGCTGGCACATGATGGCATATATCACATCGGTGGATGTGCAGGTGAACGAGCCTCTGATAGTGTGGCTGATGTTATTAGGCCCTTTGATGGTGTCCCCTGAATAGATATGTGGGCACATTTGGCAACGGGCTTTGTTGCAAGGATAGGTTCCTGGGTTAGTGGTTCTGTTGTGTGGTATGTGGTTGTTGGTGAGTATTTGCTTCAGGTTGGGGGGCTGTCTGTAGGCAAGGACTGGCCTGTCTCCCAAGATTTGTGAGAGTGTTGGGTCATCCTTCAGGATAGGTTGTAGATCCTTTGGATGAGCTATTACCAGCAGGAGAGTGAGTTTGTGTGTGTATGGGGGTGGGGGGTGAGAAAACCTGTATTTGTGCTGGAAATGGCCCACCTTGATTATCATGCACATTGTAGGGAGAGTGGTCGCTTTGGATGAGCTATTACCGGCAGAAGAGTGAGTTTGTGTGTGTGTGGTATTTGGACGGGGGTGGGAGGGTGAGAAACCTGGATTTATGCTGGAAATGGCCCACCTTGATTATCATACACATTTTAAAGAGAGTGGTCACTTTGGATGGGCTATTACGAGCAGGAGAGTGAGTTTGTGTGTGTATGGGGGTGGGGAGGGTGAGAAAACCTGGATTTGTGCTGGAAATGGCCCAACTTGATGATCACTTTAGATAAGCTATTACCAGCAGGAGAGTGGGGTGGGAGGAGGTATTGTTTCATGGTCTCTGTGTATATAATGTCTTCTGCAGTTTCCACAGTATGCATCCGATGAAGTGAGCTGTAGCTCACGAAAGCTCATGCTCAAATAATTTTATAATTGAAGCTCATTACAACAGAGTTCCAGGAACTTCATTGGCTGTTAATAGACTTCCGCATGGATACCCAGGTTTTGGTGCTAACCTTCAAAGCATAAGTGGCCTGAGCCCTTGTAACCTGGGACATTGTTCTGTCCCCATTTTTTAGGGTGACCAGATGTCCCAATTTTATAGGGACAGTCCTTGTTTTTGGGTATTTTTCTTATATAGGCTCCTATTACCCCCCACTCTCTTGGTCTGCCAGCAGCTAGATAATTGTTAACCACCTGGGAATGCTGCAAAGCCCATAACTTTTTATTTGGTGTATAAGGAGAGGCATATGGGCCGAGGGTTAGAGTGTAAGTTTACTTTATTTTCCTAATTGTATTTGATGGTGTCAGGGTGGAATGAGCAGCCCTTTATTTGTTGTATCGTTGTGTAGTGTATTTTAATTTATAAAATAGGCATCTGGAGCATACAATGTAAAGCTTTTATACAGTTAAGAAAATAAACTAATACATAGAAAATTGTGAAATAGTTAAGGCTGATACACGACATGACACAAACCTAGAAAAAGCAAGAAAACGAGATGTTAAACCACCTTACAATACATAACAACAGGCATACACCTTACTATTCTCACAAGTACTGTACACCTTAACTCTGCCCTCTCAATCAGCCCCTCAGCAGGCAGCATTCTACCAAATTATCCTCTTACAAGTACTGTAGTGCAGTCTCTTTATCATGAAAGTGCAACTTACAAATGTCGGGGTTTTTTTAGGTAACTGCACTCATAAACAAAACAATGTAAAACTTCAGCGCCTACAAGTCTACTCAGTCCTACTTCTTGTTCAGCCAATCGCTAAGAGAAACAAGTTTGTTTATATTTACAGGAGATAATGCTGCCCCCTTCTTAATTACAGTGTCACCTAAAAGTGAGAACAGGCGTTCGCATGACACTGTTGTAGCTGGCGTCACAAGATATTTATATGCCAGATGCACTAAAGATTCATGTGCCTCTTCATGCTTCGGCCATCGTTCCAGAGGACATGCTTCCATGCTGATGACGCTCGTTTAAAAAAATAATGTGTTACTTACATTTGTGACTGAACTCGTTGGGGGAGAATTGTATGTCTCCTGCTCTGTTTAACCCGTATTCTGCCCTATATTTCATGTTATAGCAGTCTCGGATGATGACCCAGCACATGTTGTTTGTTTTAAGAACACTTTCACTGCAAATTTGATAAAAAGCAAAGAAGATACTGATGTGAAATTTCTAAAGAGAGCTACAGCACTCAACCCAAGGTTAAAGAATCTGAAGTGCCTTCCAAAATCTGAGAGGGACGAGGTGTGGAGCATGCTTTCAGAAGTCGAAAAAGAGCAACACTCTGATGCAGAAACCACAGAACCTGAAAAAAGAAAATCAACCTTCTGCTGGTGGCATCTGACTTAGATAATGAAATTGAACATGCGTCGATCTGCACTGCTTTGGATTGTTATGGAGCAAAACCCGTGATCTTCATGTCTCCTGGCATGGTAGTTGAAGCATGAAGGGACATATGAATCATAGTGCATCTGGCATATAAATATCTTGTGATGCCAGCAACAGTGCCATGAGAACGTCTGTTCTCACTTTCAGGTGACACTGTAAACAAGAAGCGGGCAGCATGTTTCCTATGTTACTTTGGTTAAGTTACGTCAGTCTCCATTCAGCAAGGTACTTAAACGTGTGCCTAACTTAAAGCATATGCATAATCCCACTGAATTCAATAGAATTATTCACATGTTTATAGTTAGGCACTTCTTTAAATTTTTCTTTGGTCATGGCCTTATTCTCTCTGTCTCTCAGTTCCCCATCTGTAAAATGGGAATAATAAAACTCCTTTGTCTGTCTTGCCTATGTAGACTTTAATCTCTTCGGGCAAGATCTTCTCTTGATTAGTGAGACAAAGATTGTGGTATGTATAGCGCCTAGCAGTATGATCTTGATCTCAGTTGGTGCCTCTAGGCACTACTGTAAAAGAAATAATAAATAAAAAAAATAGCAGGGCCTCAATCTGAGTACTGTGGTAATACGAATAATACATATTAATAATAGAAGTCAAAAGTCTGATTCTGTGACCTGTTTGTGAGTCAGAGAGACTGGTAGGGACTACTCATCAGGACTTCTTCTGTGAGCTTAGGTTCAAGACTAAGCCCTTTGTGACTTGCCACGTATTAAGGCTGAACCAGGAATACAACCCATCAGCCTTGACTGAGAGTTACCTCATCTAGTTACCATATAGTAATGGTTCTGGCTGCATATTCAATTTTTGTTTATTTGTTTTAATTTTGTCTGATCTGCATTTCTGAATGTATTTGTTTTATTTTAGGTTTTCATTAAATCGGTTGGCAATGTCTATGATCTTATCTGCCTCAGTGGTCCGTGTTAGAGATGGGCTCCCGCTATCTGCCTCTACAGATTATGAGCAAAGCATGGGAATGCAGCAATGTAGAAAATATTTTAAAACGCTCTCAAAGAAGCTTGCTCAGCTTCCTGATAGATGTATGCTGAAAGCTGGCCAGTATAATATAAGGTAAGAGTTTCTTTTTCTTCCTTGTAGCATTTCTGAGTGGTGTTTAGTTAACAGTTGCAGTGTAGAGGTAATGAATTAAATTAAGAATAACTATCAACAGTTATTTTTGTATTTGAAAATTGAAAGGTACGACACATTGGACTTTAAAGACATTTATATTCTGGTGGAAATCCTAGTTTGAAGTAACCTGCATTGTTATAAATATTTAAATTATTGACCTACTAGAGTCTTGCAAGAATAAGCATTTTTAAGATTTATTCCATTATCCTATTGGTTTCAAGGTAGTTTGTAGATTAAAAGCCCCAGGAGCTCAGGAGACTTGTGATTAGTCCTTGGATATTCTTTGTTATGGTAGGTTTCAGAGTAACAGCCGTGTTAGTCTGTATTTGCAAAAAAAAAAAAAAAAAGAGTACTTGTGGCACCTTAGAGACTAACCAATTTATTTGAGCATAAGCTTTCATGAGCTACAGCTCACTTCATCGGATGCATACTGTGGAAAGTGTAGAAGATCTTTTTATACACACAAAGCATGAAAAAATACCTCCCCCCACCCCACTCTCCTGCTGGTAATAGCTTATCTAAAGTGATCACTCTCCTTACAGTGTGTATGATAATCAAGGTGGGCCATTTCCAGCACAAATCCAGGGTTTAACAAGAACGTCTGGGGGGGGGGAAAGAAGGGGAAATAGGTTACCTTGCATAATGACTTAGCCACTCCCAGTCTCTATTCAAGCCTAAGTTAATTGTATCCGATTTGCAAATGAATTCCAATTCAACAGTCTCTCGCTGGAGTCTGGTTTTGAAGTTTTTTTGTTGTAATATCGCAACTTTCATGTCTGGAATTGCGTGACCAGAGAGATTGAAGTGTTCTCCGACTGGTTTATGAATGTTATAATTCTTGACATCTGATTTGTGTCCATTTATTCTTTTACGTAGAGACTGTCCCGTTTGACCAATGTACATGGCAGAGGGGCATTGCTGGCACATGATGGCATATATCACATTGGTGGATGTGCAGGTATACGAGCCTCTGATAGTGTGGCTGATGTTATTAGGCCCTTTGATGGTGTCCCCGAATAGATATGTGGGCACATTTGGCAACGGGCTTTGTTGCAAGGATAGGTTCCTGGGTTAGTGGTTCTGTTGTGTGGTATGTGGTTGTTGGTGAGTATTTGCTTCAGGTTGGGGGGCTGTCTGTAGGCAAGGACTGGCCTGTCTCCCAAGATTTGTGAGAGTGTTGGGTCATCCTTCAGGATAGGTTGTAGATCCTTAATAATGCGTTGGAGGGGTTTTAGTTGAGGGCTGAAGGTGAGGGCTAGTGGCGTTCTGTTATTTTCTTTGTTAGGCCTGTCCTGTAGTAGGTGACTTCTGGGAACTCTTCTGGCTCTATCAATCTGTTTCTTCACTTCCGCAGGTGGGTATTGTAGTTGTAAGAATGCTTGATAGAGATCTTGTAGGTGTTTGTCTCTGTCTGAGGGGTTGGAGCAAATGCGGTTGTATCGCAGAGCTTGGCTGTAGGCGATGGATCGTGTGCTGTGGTCAGGGTGAAAGCTGGAGGCATGTAGGTAGGAATAGCGGTCAGTAGGTTTCCGGTATAGGGTGGTGTTTATGTGACCATCGTTTATTAGCACTGTAGTGTCCACTCTTGTGTGGACTGGACCAGGCTGAGGTTGATGGTGGGATGGAAATTGTTGAAATCATGGTTGAATTCCTCAAGAGCTTCTTTTCCATGGGTCCAGATGATGAAGATGTCATCAATATAGAGCAAGTAGAGTAGGGGAGTTAGGAGACGAGAGCTGAGGAAGCGTTGTTCTAAATCAGCCATAAAAATGTTGGCATACTGTGGGGCCATGCGGGTACCCATAGCAGTGCCGCTGATTTGAAGGTATACATTGTCCCCAAATGTAAAATAGTTATGGGTAAGGACAAAGTCACAAAGTTCAGCCACCAGGTTAGCCGTGACATTATCGGGGATAGTGTTCTTGATGGCTTGTAATCCATCTTTGTGTGGAATGTTGGTGTAGAGGGCTTCTACATCCATAATGGCCAGGATGGTGTTTTCAGGAAGATCACCCGTGGACTGTAGTTTCCTCAGGAAGTCAGTGGTGTCTTGAAGGTAGCTGGGAGTGCTGGTAGTGTAGGGCCTGAGGAGGGAGTCTACATAACCAGACAATCCTGCTGTCAGGGTGCCAATGCCTGAGATGATGGGGCACCCAGGATTTCCAGGTTTATGGATCTTGGGTAGTAGATAGAATATCCCAGGTCAGGGTTCCAGGGGTGTGTCTGTGCGGATTTGATCTTCTGCTTTTTCAGGGAGTTTCTTGAGCAAATGCTGTAGTTTCTTTTGGTAACTCTCAGTGGGATCAGAGGGTAATGGCTTGTAGAAAGTGGTGTTGGAGAGCTGCCGAGCAGCCTCTTGTTCATATTCCGACCTATTCATGATGACAACAGCACCTCCTTTGTCAGCCTTTTTGATTATGGTGTCAGAGTTGTTTCTGAGGCTGTGGATGGCATTGTGTTCTGCACGGCTGAGGTTGTGGGGCAAGTGATGCTGCTTTTCCACAATTTCAGCCCGAAAGTTGTGATATTACAACAAAAAAACTTCAAAACCAGACTCCAGCGAGAGACTGTTGAATTGGAATTCATTTGTAAATTGGATACAATTAATTTAGGCTTGAATAGAGACTGGGAGTGGGTAAGTCATTATGCAAGGTAACCTATTTCCCCTCGTCCATCCCCCCGTTCCCCCCCCAGACGTTCTTGTTAAACCCTGGATTTGTGCTGGAAATGGCCCACCTTGATTATCATACACATTGTAAGGAGAGTGATCACTTTAGATAAGCTATTACCAGCAGGAGAGTGGGGTCGGGGGAGGTATTTTTTCATGCTTTGTGTATATAAAAAGATCTTCTATACTTTCCACAGTATGCATCTGATGAAGTGAGCTGTAGCTCATGAAAGCTTATGCTCAAATAAATTGGTTAGTCTCTAAGGTGCCACAAGTACTCCTTTTCTTTTTGTTATGGTAGTTCAAGGAAATTATGGTGGTTTTTTTTTTCTTTGTCTGATCTGAATTATCAAAATATAAAATGAATGTAAAATTACTACCTTTTCAAATCATAAGTCTGTATATAAAAGTGTGTTATAGAATTGGGGCCAGATTTTCACAGGTATGTACATGGCTAACTCATTGAAATTAGTAGGAGTCAGTTGTCTAGATACTTTTAAAAATCTGAGCCGTAGAGCCTAACCTGCATGCCTTGTTCACCTAACATTACTGTTGCCTTCAGTGGGAGCATTGCATATGTAAGGAATGCAGGATTTCCACCCTTACCTTAATTTGTAACACCAATAGCAAATGTTACTTTGGGTAGGAACCATGTTTTCCTACATCTGTAAAGCATCTGGCTCAGTAGAGCCTCCATCCTGATTGGAGTATGCTAGCTGCCTCCATAATATAAACAATAATAATAATAATATGGAATATATATACAGTAGAAATATTGCATGATTAAATGTGCAATATTTAATGCAACTGTCGAGATAAACATCTTATCATTAACTGCCTAGTTTATTAATTAACAGTTATTTAATAAACACCAAAATCTAATTTAGTTTTAATCTTTTATGTACTTTACTCAGCTTGGACAGTGAAACTAAAGTTTCCCTTATGGGTCTCATGAATTAACACATTGCTATTACATTTCTTTCCAGTACTTTGGGTAACTCTTTACATCACCTGAAACCTCTATCTTTTCCATCCCTCCCCATTTTTTTAGGTTGTACTCATATTTTAAAAAGTCTTGAAAATATTTTTACAAAGTTTTATAAAAGCATTTTCCTATGTATATCTGTGCTTTTCTATAATGCCCATCAGTGTAATTTTGGAGCTTCTCATGAACATATGCAGGATGTATCAATGAGGTAGAGGAAGTAAATTGTCCCAATTTATGGAGATGGGGAATTGCAGCACAGTAAAGGAAAGTGACTGAAGTCTGTGGCAGAGGTTTGAGTAGAATCCAGGGGTCCTGAAGCCCATCCAGCATTTTCACAATGGTGCCATTCATTCTCTTAAAACTTTTTTGGTTTGATTTTTACCAGGCTTAAAATTTGGATCTAAAGTATTTGACCGAGTCAGCATATTGGTGCTATGTAGTAAATATAACAATGCAGAATGTGTTCTTTTCCTCCATTGTAGTTTTGAAACAGGAAACTACTTGGATTATCCTGAAATAGTGATCAGCCTATAATGTTCACTTTTCAAATGCTTCTTGATATGTATTTTGTTTCTGGGGTTTTTTTTTTTTTTTTAGGTATCACTCACCAGAAAGGTGTTTCTGTGGGAATAGAGTTAGGGCAGGTCTACACTACACAGTTAATTATGTCAGTGTGTACACTACAGCCTTCCTCCTACCAATGTAAGTGTCCTACTATACTGATATAATAACTCCACCTCCACGAGACGTGAGAGGCTGATGTCAGTGTAGTTAGAACAACACTGTGTCCCTTACATTGGCTGTCTTATCAGTTGGCATGAGCTGTGAAATTAACAAGAAAGCCCCAGCTTCCCTGGAGAGCTGGGTGGCTGGACCCTGCTCCTGGCCAGGGTCCCTGAGCTGTGAAACTGACAAGACTGCAGGGCTCCCAGTGGGAAGGCGGGGGATATGGAGGGGGGAAGAAGCCAGGACAGTTGGACACCGCTCTTCAGTGGCGAGAAGCCCCAGGTGGCTTCGCCCTGCTCCCGGTGGGGGATAGGTAGGGCAGAAGCCCTGGATGCCCCCCCCCCCCCGGCGGAGAATGGGTAGGGCAGAAGCCCAGGGACTGAGGGGGGCAGCCCACCGGGAGCTTGTGGGGCAGGCAGGCTTTTGGCAGGGAGCTGCCAGCAGAGTTGAGAGCCCCACAATGCCCCTCTTAAGTCAGTGATAGTGCTTATGTTTATAATGGTGAGAGTAATTAACCATTGGAACGATTTACCAGGGGTCGTGGGAGATTGTCCATTATTGGCAGTTTTAAAATCAAGATTGGATGTTTTTCTGAAAGGTCTGCTCTGGAAATTATTTTTGGGAAGTTCTATGGCCTGTGTTGGCGCTTACAGTGGACGCACACCACTGACCCAAGTAGGGTAGTGTGGACACCCACCACGGCAGCAATTGCTGTGGTGGCTGCAAGTTGACCTGCACCTCTCAGGATCAGGCCATAGACAGCCTGAACTTTTCCAGTTTCAATTTCTCTGATTCTTTGATTCAGCATGATTGGCAGGCTCAACTCAAGAAAGGCTCTTACAAAAGCAGGTCAGAAGTGCAGTGGAAGCTCTGCATGAAGAATCTTGCGCAGCACTTACCTTTGCTAATTCTGGCTCTAGCCAGTGTTGCCTGTGTCTCACTTTTTTGAGCATGAAATTAACCAAAATTAAAAGGTCAGGGATTCAATGTGTCTTTTCCCTCCAACCATTCAGCATACTGGATTAAAAAAAAACATTAGTGTTAGGAATGTTTTATGTGGCTGCTTAATGGTAGCTGTTGTATTCTAACTTAACTTCTGTGGCTCACTGATGTAACGGTTTAATGTTATAACTATCACAACATATGAATAAAGGCTGCAGGGTTAGCCTCTCGGTTTATTTTAAAAACAGCCCCCCTAATTATCCTCTTCCCTCCTCCCCCAAATTTGTGCTTTTAACCTTTATGTTTTGCCACTCGTAGCTATGTTTCAGACAACACAAAAAGAATAGTTTTCACAAAAGAAATATACACAGTGGCTGATATTTTTATCTCTGTGAATTAAGATAAATGCAAGCAATGAAACCTAAGCTATAGTTGTTAAGATAGAGCAAATATCAATTCTTTGTGCATAAATGCAAATGAAAAAGTCAATATTTCCTCTTAGAAGTTAATGATCATTGCTTTAACTAATTATGCACTGGGGCTTTGACTTTATTAATAAATCTTGATACATCTATAATTTCTTTGACAACAGATAAACTAAAAAAACTTAAAAGAACTGGACATCAAGTGTAATCAAAGATTTTATTTATTTACCAATATAGACTGTGTGTAAAAAAAAAAAAAAAAAGTCTTGATATATAATGATTCGGTTGATTATTTTAAGCTGTATATGACAGATACTTTAACAAATTATTGTATTCGATTATTGGTTCATGAACAGAAGTTTCAAAATTAGTTGATGTCTAAATGAAATAGGTGTAGGTATATTCCAAATGTTTAATTGGAAGGGGGGAGATTTTCCAGTCTCTGGTCATCTTCATCTTCATCTCCATCTCTGGATACTGATGAAATATCCCTTCTATGGAAGAGTTTAATTCCCTTGCTTATAAAAAATAATTCTGATGAGCAGTTTTTTGCCTTTGGAATGCAACAGATGGCATGTTCTGCATTTATTCTAAATGTGCCATTCCCAGGGGACGATACCCATGTGTTTTCCCCCTCCCAAGGATTTTATCCTAATCTCCCTCTCTTCCACACATTAGTCAGTTGCAACACACTATACACTTTTATATGTATAACATAGCTTCTCATTCATTAATACAGTGCTGTTTAAACTCTACTTCCCTGTAAGCCAACCGACCTCACCCCTTTGATCACTGCTTGCAGAGGCAATAAAGTCATTGTTGTTTCAAAATCATGCATTCTTTATTAATTCATCACACAAATAGGGGGATAGCTGCCAAGGTAGCCCGGGATGGGTGTGGAAGGAGGGAAGCATCGGGTGGGGTGGTGGATGAGGAGAGGAGAGAAGGACAAGGCCACACTGCACTTCAAAAATTATTGAATGCCCACCTTCTGTTGCTTGGGCAGTCCTCTGGGGTGGAGTGGTTGGGTGCCCAGAGGCCCCCCTCCCAGCATTCTTGGGCGTCTGGGTGAGGAGGCTATGGAACTTGGGTTACACAGGGGCTGCAGCAGCGGTCTGTGCTCCTGCTGTCTTTCCTGCAGCTCCACCAGACACCGGAGCATATCAGTTTGATCCCCCAGTAGCCTCAGCATTGCATCCTGCCTCCTCTCATCACGCTGCCGCCACCTCTCCTCTTGCTCCTGCAACCTCTCCTCTTGCTCGTCCCTCCTGTCCTCGCGTTCATTTTCTGTTTTCCTGGACTCTGCCATTGTTTGCCTCCACACATTCTGCTGAGCTCTTTCAGTGCGGGAGGACTGCATGAGCTCAGAGAACATTTCATCGCGAGTGCGGTTTTTTCGCCTTATTATCTGCACTAGCTTCTGGGATGGAGATGATAGGGGGAGGGTTGAAACATTTGCAACTGCGGGAGGAAAAAAAGGGAGAGTAATATTTTAAAAAGACACATTTTAGAGAACAATGGGTAGACTCTTTCACGGTGAACCAAGCTATTAACATTACATAGCATACGTGCTTTCGGTACAAGGTCGCATTTTGCCTCTCCCTCTTTGAGGGCCTGCTGGTTTGGTATGAGAGATCACACACGCAGGGCCAGGCAACAGAATTCGGCTTGTAGGCAGCCATGGTAAGCCACAGTCTTTCGGCTTCTTCAACCTTCATAACATGTGGGGATGGTTTCAAACAGCAGCGCCCTCCTTTCCCATACTGAGCACCTGTTGGGTTGGCCTTTTAAGAGGAGGGGCTGCAGTTTTTGGGTTAATGTGCAGCACAAACCCAACTAACTCCCACTCTCCCTCCACCCCTCAATTCTCTGGGATGATCGCTTTGCCCCTCCTCCCACCGCGTGACTAGTATCAGGGAAGATCCCTGCCAGCCAAACGCGAACAGCTCAGTGTGAACGGCCCCCCCGCCACCACATGGCTAAAAGCGGGGATGATTTATTTTCAGCCACAGGCAAACAGCCCAGCAGGAATGGCCACCTCTGAATGTATCTTTAATAATGTCCCTGGAGGATTTCCGCTCCATCCCCAGACACGTTAACAGACTTTTCCAGTAGCTGTACTGGCTGCGAATGCATCCCAAGTCTTCAAATTAATCATTAAACACACTTGCTTTTAAACCATGTATTATATTTACAAAGGTACACTCACCAGAGGTGCCTTGTCTGGCTTCATGGTCTGGGAGGCCACCTTGGAAGGGTATTGGCTCCAGGGTGATAAAAAGTTCCTGGCTGTCGGGGAGAATGGTTTCTCCACTTGCCTGTTGTGCGCTATCCTCCTCCTCATCCCCAAAATCCTCATCCCTATTGTGTGAGACCTTGCAGGTGTCCGCGGACGGGGGGGGTAGTGGTAGGGGCACCCCCTAGAATTGCATACAACTCATCATAGAAGCAGTCTGTCTGGGGCTCTGACCCGGAGTGGCCATTTGCCTCTTTGTTTTTTTGGTAGGCTTGCCTGAGCTCCTTAATTTTCACGCGGCACTGCTGCGGGTCCCTGTTATAGCCTCTGTCCATCACGCCCTTGGAGATTTTTTCAAATATATTGGCATTTCGTCTTTTGGAACAGAGTTCTGATAGCACAGATTCGTCTCCCCATACAGTGATCAGATCCCGTACCTCCCGTTCGGTCCATGCTGGAGCTTTTTTGCGAATCTGGGTCTGCATGGTCACCTGTGCTGATGAGCTCTGCATGGTCACCTCTGCTGATGAGCTCGCCACGCTGGCCAAACAGGGAATGAAATTCAAAAGTTACCAGTGCTTTTCTTGTGTACCTGGCTAGTGCATCTGAGTTGAAAGTGCTGTCCAGAGCAGTCACAATGGGGCACTCTGGGATAGCTCCCGGAGGCCAGTACCGTCAAATTGTGTCCACACTACCTCAAATTCAACCTGGCGATGTCGATTTCAGCGCTAATCCCCTCATCGGGGAGGAGTACAGAAATCGCTTTTAAGAGCCCTTTAAGTCGAGAAAAAATGGCTTTGTCGTGTGGACAGGTGCAGGGTTAAATCGATCTAATGCTGCTAAATTCGACCTAAACTCGTAGTGTAATTTTTCCCTAAAACAATCTCTGGCTTTTTCAATAAATATTAATGTCTTCATTACCCCATAGAAGTTTTTTGCTTCTCTGTTTATGGCATATGGAACCAGTCTTGGGAAGCTGTATGATACATAGACTTAATTTTGAAATTTTAAAACCATTTTTTAAATTATAGTTTTATTAGCTCTCTGGGAGTGAGCTACATGATGCTGTGCACTGAAAATTACCCCAGTGTTCTGGCTTTCTGCTTCCTGGATGAGCTTCAGAAAGAGTTCATCACCACATACAATATGATGAGGACAAATACTGCCATCCGGCCATACTGTTTCATAGAGTTTGGTAAGGATCTGATTGTTTACTACAATAACTCTTTCAAACCTAACTCAAATTCAACTAACTGTTTTAAAGAACGTACAACTTAAAACATACAAATCACAAATATTCAGCCAAGATTATGTTTAGTTAGCTTTAGGGTGATTTAGGGCCTAATCCAGCTCCCATTAAAGTCAATAGAAAGATTTCCATTGTCTTCGGTGGGAGTTGAATCAGTCTGTTAGAGCCTGATCCAAAGTCCATTGGGAATCTTTCCATTAACTTCAATAAGCTTTAGATCAGGTTCTGGGTGAACAAATGTGGATGAATTTAACTTCTGCCAGTTAGTAATTTGTTGAGATGTTTGACGTTATACCCGTATCAAAATACTGAACCTATAAGGACATTGAGCTTTGTAAGCCATTTCCAAACAAAAAAATCCCAGTTATATGTTTGATCTTCACTGCGTAATAATTATTTGTTCAATGCAAAGAAAGGAAGTGAAGATTTTGATTTGCTTTATGATACAGCTATGCATTGAATTTTCTGTGATTTGAGCTTCAAATACCTACTACATGTGGCATTACTTGTAGCATCTCTTGTAGTTTCTGCTGATATCTTCAATGGCTTAAAAATTATACCTTCATCTGGAGGTAAAAGAAACTAGTTTTATGTATTCTAACAAAATACACTTTAGACAGAGTAAAAGGAGTACAAGGTGCAGAAAAATATGGTACATACTAAATTCATTCAGTTTTCCAGTGCAGCTGATCAAGTCTGTTTTTTAAAGGTGTCTTTTAGAATAACCACTGTTTGCTTTCTTCCCTTTCTCCATCCTTCCATGTTTTTTCCTAGCTGTTAGTTTAGAGAGTAATTTCGTTATATTGGTGTGTTTACTGCTGGGGTGAGAAGATATAATGAAAGTATTCAGCCCTAATATTTTGCAATTTAAGTCACATTTTAGAATTAAGTGCATTTATATCTGAAAAAATAAATTACTTTATTTTTATAAGAATATTTGCTGAATTGAGAAAGAAACTAAAACTAGTGAAATAAATCCATTATATTAGCAGTGCTTTCAGTATCATGCCGTGGCAAGTCATTAGTTTATTCACAGTTGTTAGGTAATTAAATTTCTAGAGCTTAATTTTTGATACTGCGGAATTAATTAGTCCATGATATATTAGTCATAAAACAGAAATAGTATTAGAACGTTCCAAGATAAATGTAAGAATTTAAATAATAAATTTAAATTTGTGTATATGAGAAATATATGGCCCATAAAGCTTCACAGTCTGGAATGATTTAATTAACAATGTCTATAGGGATATATATTTTTTTAATTTTACACAGATAATTTTATTCAAAGGACCAAGCAGAGATATAATAACCCACGGTCTCTGTCGACAAAGATAAATCTTGCTGACATGCAGACAGAAATCAAGCTGAGACCACCTTATCAAATTTCCATGTCTGAACTTGGTTCAACTAATGGATTTGCACACTTATCTGCTGCAGAGTTTAAGGGTACTGGTAAGATATCTACTGGTGAGTTTGATACCTTAATTACTGTTATCCTTATGTGAACCAGATACAGAGACATATGTTTACTTTGCTTTTTTTTTTTTTTAAACAAAATGAAATATGGAAAATAATGCCAAACACGGTACTTTGTTAGTTGCTAGTCTGTATAAAGAACAATTGCCATGACATAGGATGTGTGTCATTGTTTAGCAGCTTGGCTTCAGTTAATTACTCTTTCCTTGCAGCTTTCATAGAGGGCAATTACTGATAGACTGGTTTCTAAATGAAAATATACAAGTGAAGGTAGACATTTAAATATACTTTTTTCTTTAATAAGACTCATAAATCAGTTAGTGATTTCTTTATAATGGGATCTGAAGGCATCATGAAAGCATTGTATTGCTGGGCATGTCATGACTACTGGACTCAGCGGGAAGAGCATCACATAGGGCAGGTCCTTGACATTCAAATTCAAAGTAATTATCCTGTTTAAATTCAGTACTCTTTAAAAAACGTTTGTACCTAGTACATCACATCAGTAATAGCATATCTTCATTTATTTTTGTCATGACAGTTCTGTTTTAGATTTTTTTTAGATCTTGATTTTTTTCATTTAAATCATGAAAAGAATAAATTTTATAGGGTAACTTTTAAAGCACATATGATAACTAATGCACTGATGAGTTTGGATATTAGAGTACTATATACTGACATATGATCTAAACATTATCTTGTGATATTAAAAACACTTTCAAGCAGCTAAGCTCCAAATTTGGGTATTTCCCAGCAGAATAGAAGAATGAAAACAAGAACACAAAAACATTATACTAATGCATGGATTCTACAAATGAAACGGACTAGAGAAAGTGAAACAGAACAGTCTAGTTTCAATCTTCAAGTTCAGTGAAGTGAAAAAAATAGAATAAATGATGAAAATTTAATTTAAATGTAAACATTTTTCATTTTTAAAAAGCTTTGGTCCTGATGCTCATCCACTTGGGCAGACTTCTGTACCAAACAGTTCATCTTTCAGGATTAGGGCCTGAATTAATGACACAAATGTGAACTCTTATTAAAGTATTGTAAAATAAGTGATCAGCTAAAATTTGTACACTTTTACAAATATTAACAGTCACTTTTAACTATTATGCTAGTAATTCTTTTTCAGTGATTACCTTAAACACTTCAGTTTCTTCTATTTCTGCTGTAGGTTTTCTCTCTACAGATGTAAAAATGCTGTTTTAGTTGAAAAAGGTACATTGCTAGGTGTTTGTTCAGCGCCCACCACAGTGGCGTTCTGATCCTAATTGAGACTTTTAGGAGCTATCAGAGTGCAAATAATTTATAGTTATAATGATTATAACATTGATACTGACAAAAAACCCCTAACTACTGCAACAACAAAGGAGAATGTGTAATCACATTCAAATTATTAGGACAGTGGTACCTCTCAAGGAATGCCATATACCTATGCTAATCATCCAGAGCATTCCTAATATTGTTGGTGATTGATGGAGAAATGTGGAAAACATTGTGAGTACCACTTCTGCTTGTATATATGTACTCTGTATTTTTATTATAATTCTATGGACTCCTTCTTTTATCACTTCTGACACTTTCTTAAGAGTTAATCTCTTGCTACTTATTTAACAGCTTGATGTAATCCTGTCTCTGTGGAAGAGGTTATGGTGTCACAAGTGGAAGCAAATAAACTCAATAAAAATCATCTGGATGCAGTTTATGATTAAAAGGAAAAATACCGAATGTCTATGGCACAGGCAGAATTATTTCTAAATAGATTATTTTAAAAAAGTGTTTTCAGGAAGCATTAGATGTTGTTTATGACACTGTTAGAATAAAAGATCCTCTGAGAACATAATAGCTTAAATTCAAATGCAGTAAGGCACCTTTCCTTCTCTTTTCCATTCTTCCTTTCTTTTTTCTTTATCATGTTATCCCAAGTTAAGGATTTTTTTAAACTTTAAATCAGAAGTCAGAGTTCCCTTGCTGGTTTTTGCTTGACCTGATTGTTTTAGAAGTATTGCTTCCTGCCATTTCTCAATTTTCCTGTGACAATTCCATGAAATTAATTTTCATTTAATTAGTTTGTCCTTCCTCTCTATTTTACAAAATTTTCTCTTCTCTTCTTCCTTTCTGGAATCTGCCTGGCTGCAGACACTCTCCCTCTCGAGGCCCATACATCCAAGAAGATCTCACACTGTTTTTTCTCCCAATATTTAAGTTTTAGCTGCCTTTTGCTCCTGACCATTGGATACTACAGTGTTTGGAGTGTAATTATTCCTTTAATATAAGCCTTTTACCTTAGAGCAGTTATAGAATTTCCCAGGACATCTGCTTGCTCAAGTATAAGCCTTCAACAGCTCCCAGAGTAGGGGCTTTCTTAAAAAATCTTCGCTGTCTGTCTGATACCTATGCAGCAGGCCAGACTTCCCCGTTTCTCTTCTGTTCCAAGGATAACTTTTCCAAATGTGAAAACAGCAAAGATCCAGACTAACACGGCTACCCCTCTGATACTTTTCCAAATGTGATCTGTCTTGCTCAATGTCCCATAATTCTTTTGTTTTCCCATTCAGATATGAGTTTTGCAGTGTGTGAGTTACATGTCTTAAACCACTTCAGCTAGTAAGTGGTGCTACGTAGACACACAGGCCAAATTCTATTTTGTTACACGAGTGTAACTTGAGAGCAGAATTTGACCCATTAACTTTAGCTGTAATCGTAAAGCATGTGGCATTACTAGCACAGATACAGCTGTTGGGCATTTTGGTGATGTTGAACAATATTTAGAGTCTAGGCCTATTAAAATGTTGTTGTTCAAATGATTGAAAATTGGAATCCTTTCTTTAGAGAACTACTGTTCTGTGTAATGAATAAATTAAAGCTATTTTTTAATGTTGGGGGTATGCATCATGAAAACTCCTGATAGTATTTTGCTTAAAAGATAATCTCAGATTTCATCATGCTTTAGAAATGTGGTGATAACATAACTGTTTTATGCATTTGTCTGGTTAGGGCAGATTTTAAATACTTTTAAAGCTTTTTTTTTTTTTTTTTAAATGTCAGTTCCTAAAGTTAAGGTGTCTTCTATGTCATTAACTTTCCTACTTTTAAAATAAGGAATTCCAGTAGAACTGGTACAGTCTCTCAAATCAGTGGAACTAAGAGGAACTCTCTGTATAAATTAATAAAAATACTACATTGAGGTTTACATATAAAAGCCACTAAAAAGTTGAGTGCTAGATATTTCAATTACAATACTATATTCATTTTTTTAAATGGCAGCTGGGGAGGGAGGGCAGGAGAAATGTGAATAAATTTAAAGCCATTCCTTACAGGGAATGTACAAGTTCTGACATCAGAATTTGTACATTTTTTGATCCCAGGGGGGCCTATACTAAAAACTTACTAGTTTAGTGATTATGTGTTGTCTCTTCTTAAGAGTTTGTAAACTCCACAGGCTGAGGGACCTAGTGGCTCTAGTACAGATTGTCTTTTACTCTGCTGTCTTTAACTGACCTTCTAAATTCTGTTGTTATGCATTTATTTGCTCTCTGGTGCTTAGCTCTTTTGACAATAGAATGTGTAATCCCTTGAGCCTTGAGGAGCTTAATAGCTTTAGCAATGGTGTAGAGTGTCCTTAATTAGAGTTTCAGAGGAACAGCCGTGTTAGTCTGTATTCGCAAAAAGAAAAGGAGTACTTGTGGCACCTTAGAGACTAACCAATTTATTTGAGCATGAGCTTTCGTGAGCCACAGCTCACTTCATCAGATGTGTACCGTGGAAACTGCAGCAGACTTTATATACACACAGAGAATATGAAACAATACCTCCTCCCACCCCACTGTCCTGCTGGTAATAGCTTATCTAAAGTGATCAACAGGTGGGCCATTTCCAGCACAAATCCAGGTTTTCTCACCCTCCACCCCCCCACACAAATTCACTCTCCTGCTGGTGCTAGCCCATCCAAAGTGACAACTCTTTACATAATCAAGTCGGGCTATTTCCTGCATAGATCCAGGTTTTCTCACTTCCCCCCACCCCCATACACACACAAACTCACTCTCCTGCTGGTAATAGCTCATCTAAACTGACCACTCTCCAAGTTTAAATCCAAGTTAAACCAGAATATCTGGGGGGGGGGGGGGGGTTAGGGAAAAAACAAGAGGAAACAGGCTACCTTGCATAATGACTTAGCCACTCCCAGTCTCTATTTAAGCCTAAATTAATAGTATCCAATTTGCAAATGAATTCCAATTCAGCAGTTTCTCGCTGGAGTCTGGATTTGAAGTTTTTTTGTTTTAAGATAGCGACCTTCATGTCTGTGATTGCGTGACCAGAGAGATTGAAGTGTTCTCCGACTGGTTTATGAATGTTATAATTCTTGACATCTGATTTGTGTCCATTTATTCTTTTACGTAGAGACTGTCCAGTTTGACCAATGTACATGGCAGAGGGGCATTGCTGGCACATGATGGCATATATCACATTGGTGGATGTGCAGGTGAACGAGCCTCTGATAGTGTGGCTGATGTTATTAGGCCCTGTGATGGTGTCCCCTGAATAGATATGTGGGCACAATTGGCAACGGGCTTTGTTGCAAGGATAAGTTCCTGGGTTAGTGGTTCTGTTGTGTGGTATGTGGTTGTTGGTGAGTATTTGCTTCAGGTTGGGGGGCTGTCTGTAGGCAAGGACTGGCCTGTCTCCCAAGATTTGTGAGAGTGTTGGGTCATCCTTTAGGATAGGTTGTAGATCCTTAATAATGCGTTGGAGGGGTTTTAGTTGGGGGCTGAAGGTGAGGGCTAGTGGCGTTCTGTTATTTTCTTTGTTAGGCCTGTCCTGTAGTAGGTAACTTCTGGGAACTCTTCTGGCTCTATCAATCTGTTCCTTTACTTCTGCAGGTGGGTATTGTAGTTGTAAGAAAGCTTGACAGAGATCTTGTAGGTGTTTGTCTCTGTCTGAGGGGTTGGAGCAAATGCGGTTGTATCGCAGAGCTTGGCTGTAGACGATGGATCGTGTGGTGTGGTCAGGGTGAAAGCTGGAGGCATGCAGGTAGGAATAGCGGTCAGTAGGTTTCCGGTATAGGGTGGTGTTTATGTGGCCATTGTTTATTAGCACTGTAGTGTCCAGGAAGTGGATCTCTTGTGTGGACTGGACCAGGCTGAGGTTGGTGGTGGGATGGAAATTGTTGAAATCATGGTGGAATTCCTCAAGGGCTTCTTTTCCATGGGTCCAGATGATGAAGATGTCATCAATATAGCGCAAGTAGAGTAGGGGCTTTAGGGGACGAGAGCTGAGGAAGCGTTGTTCTAAATCAGCCATAAAAATGTTGGCATACTGTGGGGCCATGCGGGTACCCATAGCAGTGCCGCTGATCTGAAGGTATACATTGTTAGTCTCTAAGGTGCCACAAGTACTCCTTTTCTTAATTAGAGTGCTTGATTATTGTTTTAAAGAGAAAATATAGAAATGTTCTAACACTCATGCACCAAATTGCTGATTTTTGCTGATAAAACTTGACTTTTTCAGAATAAGATGTCCCTCATTTTGGTGTTATCCAAATGTAAAATTCCTGATTGGAATATATGGGGAAAATGTGGGTGTGGCTTTCCCCCCTCTACTCATAAAACTCAACAACAGCTGAACTAATTTTACCCAACAGTGTAAATAAATGCAACTTTGTCTGAGACTAAAATTTCAGCCAAAAAAAAAAAGTTTGAAAAAAGTTAAGTAACTGAAGAAGTTAGAATGGAAATTGGCATCCAACCTTTACTTTAGTAATGACAGGTTTCAGAGTAGCAGCCATGTTAGTCTGTATTTGCAAAAAGAAAAGGAGTACTTGTGGCACCTTAGAGACTAACAAATTTATTTGAGCATAAGCTGTAGCTCACGAAAGCTTATGCTCAGATAAATTTGTTAGTCTCTAAGGTGCCACAAGTACTCCTTTTCTTTTTACTTTAGTAGTTGCCACATCTAATGTGTCTTGTGCTTAGAATAAAAATAAGTTATCAAAGTTGAGCATCAAGGTATTTTTTTGTTTAAAACAAAAACATATCTTAAGTCTTATACAAATTAGTTATAACAAAACATATATGTTGAGCATAATAAAGTTAGGACACAATGACACTCAAACAGTCTTATGTGCTTATCAGGAGAAATAGCTTTTGTCATATTTTTTGTGGTTTCTGTAACTTTTTGAACTGTTTGGAGAGCCTTTGTCTGAAGCTGTTAAGTGCAAACAAGCAGGATTGACACCCCTCTCTATATTAATGTTACAGTTCATTAACTTCATTGTTTGCACCTTTACACTTCACTGATTTAAACAAAATGATTTAAATATGTGAATCTCTTGTGTCCCTCTCCCCTCCCCCATGTTGCCTAGACTGTTATGGATTTTGTGTTGGATTCCTCTCCCCCTCCCATATTTGGCTTCCGTTATTTGTTGTGGAAAAGCACAATAATGATTAATACACATCTACTATGTATTTGCAGTCATTTGTGTAACTGTGTCCCCTTATAAGCACAAATGTATGTGTGTGTAGAAAAATGTATATTTTCAAATACCTTTCTGTATTTTGTTTTTAATATAATCAGTAAGAGACTTCTGAATCACGACTGGAAGTATGTATCCTATTGTACTACAAATACTAGCTGTAGTTCCAGAATTTTTCTTTATTTGTATCTCTGGTAGCATTTACAGCTGGTGTGCTTTGCTGTAGTGGCAGGTAATAGGCTTTGCCTCACGGCATTTCGTTCAGCAAACAAGTTAAATCAATCCTGATAGCCCTTACTAATGCGTTAGCGTTAAAGAAGAGTGAAGGTTGTGAAAGGAGCTCTCAAGTATGCGACTTTATTAGCTGGTTGCTAATTTGGGACAAATTTTACCAGCAAGTACATTATTGGGTATTGATTTAGTGGCATGTTTGAGCAGTCTTCAGCACCGTACTGGATATCTCAAGTTAAATTTCTTCTTTAACAAAGGTTTCAGAGGAACAGCCGTGTTAGTCTGTATTCGCAAAAAGAAAAGGAGTACTTGTGGCACCTTAGAGACTAACCAATTTATTTGAGCATGAGCTTTCGTGAGCTACAGCTCACTTCATCAGATGTTTACCGTGGAAACTGCAGCAGACTTTATATACACACAGAGAATATGAAACAATACCTCCTCCCACCCCACTGTCCTGCTGGTAATAGCTTATCTAAAGTGATCAACAGGTGGGCCATTTCCAGCACAAATCCAGGTTTTCTCACCCTCCACCCCCCCCCCACAAATTCACTCTCCTGCTGGTGCTAGCCCATCCAAAGTGACAACTGTTTACATAGTCAAGTCGGGCTATTTCCTGCATAGATCCAGGTTTTCTCACATCCCCCCCACCCCCATACACACACAAACTCACTCTCCTGCTGGTAATAGCTCATCTAAACTGACCACTCTCCAAGTTTAAATCCAAGTTAAACCAGAACATATGGGGGGGGGGGGGGTTAGGAAAAAACAAGAGGAAACAGGCTACCTTGCATAATGACTTAGCCACTCCCCAGTCTCTATTTAAGCCTAAATTAATAGTATCCAATTTGCAAATGAATTCCAATTCAGCAGTTTCTCGCTGGAGTCTGGATTTGAAGTTTTTTTGTTTTAAGATAGCGACCTTCATGTCTGTGATTGCGTGAATCTCTCTGGTCACGCAATCACAGACATGAAGGTCGCTATCTTAAAACAAAAAAACTTCAAATCCAGACTCCAGCGAGAAACTGCTGAATTGGAATTCATTTGCAAATTGGATACTATTAATTTAGGCTTAAATAGAGACTGGGAGTGGCTAAGTCATTATGCAAGGTAGCCTGTTTCCTCTTGTTTTTTCCTAACCCCCCCCCCCCCCATATGTTCTGGTTTAACTTGGATTTAAACTTGGAGAGTGGTCAGTTTAGATGAGCTATTACCAGCAGGAGAGTGAGTTTGTGTGTGTATGGGGGTGGGGAGGATGTGAGAAAACCTGGATCTATGCAGGAAATAGCCCGACTTGACTATGTAAAGAGTTGTCACTTTGGATGGGCTAGCACCAGCAGGAGAGTGAATTTATGTGGGGGGGTGGAGAGTGAGAAAACCTGGATTTGTGCTGGAAATGGCCCACCTGCTGATCACTTTAGATAAGCTATTACCAGCAGGACAGTGGGGTGGGAGGAGGTATTGTTTCATATTCTCTGTGTGTATATAAAGTCTGCTGCAGTTTCCACGGTAAACATCTGATGAAGTGAGCTGTAGCTCACAAAAGCTCATGCTCAAATAAATTGGTTAGTCTCTAAGGTGCCACAAGTACTCCTTTTCTTTTTTCTTTAATAAAGACATTAAGGAACATCAGTTCTATATTTTAGTTGAAGTAAATATATTTTATCGAATCTTTTACTCTTTTTAGAATTTTACATATATACATTAAGGTTTACCAACTTTAATTATGTGTTTTTGAGCAGGAAGAAGTCACTGAAAAATAAGATTTATATTTTTCTAAACTTTAAGGAAAATGCTTTGATATATTTCATACCATTTTTTTCCTGTTTCTTGCAGCTCCTCATCAACGACTGGAAGCTGTTACTTTGCCAGGGATTGTTTCATTTATACTGAGCCTGTTATGTGGGGCTTTGAATTTAATTAGAGGGTTTCATGCCATAGAAAGTCTTCTGCAGGTACTGTACCATGTTTACAACTCTGTAGTGGGGAAGAACTGAAATCAAAGTGCCACGTTTGTGCAAAATATCAATCAAAATTAGCTCATATAAACTGTTTACAGTATGAACCAAATCCTTCTACCCTAATTCACATGAATGTTCCCATTGATTTCAAACCCAATATGTATATTATTACTCCTGAGGGAAGTACATGTACAGAATTCATGTCTGGCGCAGAATTTTTTTATTTCCTGCAGAAAATACATTCTGCCCAAGAAGTGCTGCAGTTCTGCCTTTTGCCCACCAGAGGCCACAGTGGCACCAGAACAGCCGGCTGACCAGTAGTAACAGCTAGCAGCTAGCTGCGTTCATTACAGCAGCGTGCCTGTGGAGCCAGGTTAGATGACAGAGGGGGCACACAGGGATGCTGGGGGAGTCAGAGATTAGGGTTCAAAAGGGCTACTGGGGGGAACACCCTGGGGCATGGGCTGAGGAGCTAGTGGGGTGACAGCATTGAGCCAAGGGCTGAATGGGAGGGGGGCTCCAGGGCCACATGGAGATAGTGGAAGATGTGCCTGACTGAATGGGAGAGGCTTGAGGTCAGCCAGGGTCCTCATGGGAGAGGCTCCCAACTCCCTAACAATCTTCCACCCCACCCAAAAAAAAAGAAAGAAAGAAAGAAACTGTTCCATACTTCTCTCACCCCCACCAAACAACCCTCCAGGTTCACTCCCAGGCTCCTTCCCTCTTCCTCAGCTCCTCTGTTATCCCTGACTCCCCCCAAGCCTTTGCACTGCTTCTGAGGGGTCTGGAAAATACATTTCTGTATTGTAGTTTAAATGAATTACTCAACATTCTGTATTAACATATCTAGTAAGGAATGTATTTGTCAAAAAACATTTCCTGAATCTTTTTTTTGGTCTGTATTGTTAGACATACTTGCTGACAGGTATTTTGAAATAAATTACCAAAATAATTGAAACGGGAGTGATTATATTATGTTGTTTTAACACATAAAATATGCAGAATTTTGCAGAATTTGTTTTTTGGCGCAAAATTCCCCCAGGAGTAATATTCTATATCCATTATTGAGTGTGTACAGGAAGAGATGTTCAAAGGCGCCTGCTGGAGTTTGAAAATCAATGGAAGATGGGCAGCTAACTCCCTTAGATACTTTTGCAAACCCACCAGTACGGGGCATAGACTTCTGTTTTCTAAACCCGTGCCATAATGATAAACTTTGAAAAGCCACTTTTTCATAGGTGACTGTTATGCATAATGCTTGAGCAAAATGATATGCCTTCAAAATATGGACAGTCTAGCCCATTGTCAGCAAAGAACCATGGAACATGGGTATTTGAAGCATTTTTGTAACCAGGACCTTTGTTCCTTTGAGAATAAAATGAAAAGTTATGTATTTGGTTATGGGAAGTTCTGTCCCTTGACTGACTTCCTTTAAAATGTATTTGCATTCGATATTGCGACCCATGACCTTGCAATGAATAAGAGGTTTTTCTTTGTACACCATTGGTACATTATAAGATACATTGCCATTGATAATATATACTGAATGAAGGATACTGTGCTGTTAGAATGGCACATCTTCTGGTGGTGTAAATTGTCATAGCTCCATTGAAGTCAGTTAAGCACTGACAATAGACAACTGCTGAGTATCTGCCCCAGTTAAAAACACTAAACTGAGGTCCTCTCACGGTGGTTGTCCTAGTGGAAAATGAAGATCCTGTGGTGGCTTTCAAAAGGAGTAGGGGGAATCTTACTATTTTGGTTATATTTATTGTCTCAGTAAAGTAAATTCAGGTGTATAAGACTTTATGCACTATTCCTTCATAATCACAGCATTATCAGTGTTGGTTTAATCACTTTTTAAGGGCACTGGTTACCTAAAATATGAAAGATGCTATATGCATTCTAATTGTATTCTGTATACATACTTGTATATTAATTTAAACATTAACAATTGAGGCCCAGGGCTTTTCCTGAGATTAATGAATGGCTGGGAGGAGTTGATGAAAATGCCCTGTGCCAAGGTCGTTGTTACTATTACAAACTGAAAATGAGAATAAAGCCAAGGTATATGGATGTTTTTAATGCATTATGCAGTTTCATATGGGATTTCTTGAGAATTAATGTCCTGTTCCCTCACAAATCATATTTCTTATATATTATGTACATATAAATAATATTTCCTGAATTCTTTATCACCATGCCATTAGGTTTATAAATATAAATTACAGTACCGAGTTGCACAAATAGCAGACAGAATTTCACCTCTTTAATTGTATAATATCTGTATTACTTACTCTGTTTCTAAAGGAACACAGCTGCAGAAGGATATTCCAGTATAGAATTAACCTATGTAACCAGTAATGTTCCATTTTCTTTAGCTGGTGGATAGTGATTTACAGATGGAATACAGTGTTTAGTATTTAATTTCTGGCATTTTGGATCCACTCAAAATAAGTGAAACGAAGAGGAATTTAAAATTAACATGGAATAAATCCATAAAGGTCAAGGCAGAAGCCATCCGAACACAATGTTAAATGGAAGTTTAACTCCAGAAAAAAAATCTTTCATTACAAAGGTTCCTTCTCAATTTAGAATATTTTCCTTATTAATCAATAATTCATTTAGAGGTTACAAAATTACTTTGTAACCGGTAGTTATGCTGTACTGGATTCTGTTGTGACTGTGAGGTGAAAGTTTTTATAATCTGTTGAAGTTCTGTTCCTGGACATAAATTTTGTGTGCAGAAGTACAGATTTTTTTTTTATTGCCAAAGCTACAGATGAGAGAACTTCAGGCTAAACATGTTCGCAAGAGAGAGGGGCTGTAGTTCCAAATGGACCAGCTTCCTTTAGAAATGGAATTCCACTTGATGAAAAACAGATTGCATGAGCGCCCTTGTTCGTATGGGAAAGTTTCTGATTGTGGCAGATGTTTGTTTGAAAAGCATGAAAATGCAGTCTGAAATAATCACTGACAATGTAAATTTATTCTGCTCAGCTTTATGGAAAATATTAAAACCTGTTTGAATATATTAGAAGAAATAAGTCTGTTTAAGGAAAAGCAGCTTTAAGTGAGAAGATCTGTAATTTTAAGTTCATTTTTCTATTGTTCTACTTAAAGGAAATTCAATTTACTGTCCATGTAACTGTTTATGAATAATCTTTGTCTATTAAATAGTCATGCTTTTGTTTGTTCTCTCTTCCATTAATGTATGTTTGCCTGCATTGTTTTCTACATAGAATTTTAGCACACCCTAGTGGACGATTTGTATTTTTCAGTTTACACAGTTTCCATTTTGTGGTGATGTTATATTAAGACAGTTGTACAAATTGTTACTTCTTCTAGTTCCCAACATTTAGACTGGGAATTTCAAACTAGTCTAGGGAAACTAGGTGCCCAAAGCTGCAGATGAGCCTTCCTTAGGCTCTTTTGACAATCCCAGCATTAGGTGTCTGCTGTGCTGAATAGAAATAGTAAGCAAGAATAATTTTAGGGTATTTTGGACCCTTCTAACTTCATTCTATGGATCTGACCTTCCCAGAGAGAGAGAAATAAGTGATGCCTTCTAATTTCTCCAGTTTAGTTTTGGTACAGGAGGTCATTCTACATTTGTATGTTGGATTATTTTTAATTAGAGCTAGAAGTTATTTGTGTATAACATGCATATCTTGTGTATTTACTTTTGCTTTCTTTTCACAGAACGAGGGTGAAGATTTCAGTTATGTCATTGCGTTTTTCCTTGGAACAGCAGCCTGCTTGTATCAGGTAAATTCTTCCTGCTGCACATTGCAATAGTCTTGCAATAGAAACATTATGTAGTCATGTACAGATGTTATCAAGTTTTGTTAAATATTGTGTATATTTGAATGGATTGACTTTAACGGTAACCTCTACTCTTATTTTGGTGATGATGAGAGATCACAGCATAGATGCATGCCTAAATCCTTGATTTTGGGTTATTGTTTTCTGGGATTGTCTTTTCCCAGTTAGTTTATCAAGAGATAGGGATGTGTTTGTCTCCTTTCGGAGGCTGATATTAGGATTGCTGTATGATTCAGCATCACAGAATCATAAAAGTTAAAGATGAAACTGACATTTTAGGTCCCTTTTTTCCATCTTCCTGGACAAATACAGTTTTTTGTTCCTTCAGTGTTATTCCCAGGTTAGCTTGTAACTGTCACAAGGGATAGGGAATCCTTCACTTCTCCAAAATGACTATTACACAGCCTAATACATCTCACCATCTGGAAGTTTTCTCTTTTACGCGGCCTTCCTTTTCCTCTCCTGAGTGTTATCTCACTATTCCTAGTTATACAGTCTTTCTGTCCCACTAAGTAATTCTTCTCCTTTTTTTGGTATTTGTGCTTTTAATATATTGTTACATTTTTAGCAAATCTCTCTTCTCTCTTAGTTGTTGCTTAGCTAAACTATACATAATTAGCTCTCTGTCTTTCCATATAAGTCAGTTGTCACAGTCTCTTCATAATCATTATGGCTGTTCGCTGAATTCCCGCTAATTTTTGCTTATCTTTCCGGTATGATGAGCCCAAAACTGAATGCACTATTTCAAGTGTGGTCATTTTTGGGATTATCACCTCCCTGCTTCATAACATAATGTGTGTTCAGTCAGAAATCTCACGCCCTCTTTTGCTGCTGTATCACATTGCTTACTTGTACGTAATTGCTGTCAACTACAATCCCTTCCATAGGTGTCTTTCAGCAGTAGTGAAGTCCATTGTCTTGCATTTTTCCAGTTTACATCTTTTGTATCTTCTGATAATATTTCTAACCCCACTAGGTCCAGTTGCATTGTTGTCTGTTCTCAGTGACTGTATTTCCTCCCAGATTAGCAACCACTCTGAAATTCATAACATATTGGCCTCCTCCTCTCCAAGATTATTAGTAAAAATGTTAAATAAGATCACAGCTAATGCCACATAGAAGAACTCCCTAACTTGATACATTATCTTGTATCTTTACCCTTTCTTTGCAGTCCTCCAGCCACTTTGCACTTATATAATAATGCTCTTGTTCTACTATGTGATGATCTTCACTCAGAAATTTAATCTCACTAGATTCTTGGGATTTTTTCCCTATAGTGTGATTCCCCAATCCATACAACGTATCTGTCTTTCATGTATTGCTGTTTATTAATTTACAAGAAAATGGTTACAGTCAAGTTGTGCAGGCCAAAAATTGGACCTAAATGGAATAGGAATTTAGTGCTAAACGTTGAACTAATAGTGAGGTATTTACAGTACCCCACTGATATTTGCCTTCCACCACATTTCAGGAATACCCATTTTGTCAAGGTCCTTTTCTATTGCCTGATATTCTAATTTACCTAGGTTGGCTCTTTAAGAGTTATGCATTGATATAGTACCTTGACATTTATAGTTTCTATTTTTGGCCATGTACCTATTATTTTTGCTCTGGCACCAGTCTAACTGGCCCAGAACTTACCTCTGTGATCTCAACCTGTCCCTTGTCTAGTTCAGCTGTAGTTTCTGTCCTTTCTTTTACAGGACACAATTAACCTTTGTACAGTAACTCCTTGCTTAATGTTGTAGTTATGTTCCTGAAAAATGCTACTTTAAGCGAAACGATGTTAAGCGAATCCAATTTCCCCATAAGAATTAATGTAAAGGGGTGAGGGTGGGGGGTTAGGTTCCAGGGAAATTTTTTCCCTAAACAAAAGACATATATACATACAGTATATGTTTTAAACAAACAATTTAATACTTTACACAGCACTGATGATTGTGAAGCTTGGTGGAGGTGGTGAAGTCAGAGGATGGAAGACGGTGGGATATTTCCCAGGGAATGCCTTACTACTAAATGATGAACTAGCACTTGTCTGAGCCCCTCAAGGGTTAACACGTTGTTAATGTAGCCTCACACTCTACAATGTGTGCACGAATGGAGGGAGGGGAGACGGCATGGCAGAGAGAGACACATCATGTGTGTGATAGACATTGCCCCTTTAAGTGTGCTGACCCCACTCTAAGTACACTGCCTTTTTAAGTAGATAAGCAAATTGAGACAGCAGCTGCTGCCAGCAAGCTCCCTCTGTCCTGAGCCCTGTTGTGCTCCCCGCCCTGCTCTCTGGAGATGGGGTAAAGGAGTGAGGGTGGGAGGGGGACACCCTGACATTAGCATCCCTCTTATCCCCCTCTCCATCCACTGCACAGCAAGCAGGAGACTCACGGGAGCAGCTGCAAGGCAGAGGGCAGGAGAAGCACACTGCAGTGGGGGGAGGAACAGCTGAACTGCCTGGCAATTGATAGCGTGCTGGGTGGCTGCTGCACAGGGAACTTAGGGGAGCTGATGGGGGCTGCCAGCCCACCCTGGTTCTAAGCCCCCACCAGCTAGCTCCAATGGGCTGCTCTTCCTGCGAGCAGTGGACAAAGCAGGCAGCTGCCTAACAACGTTATAAAAGAGCATTGCACAACTTTAAACAAGCATGTTCTCTAATTGATCAGCAATGTAACAATAAAATAACGTTAACCGGGACGACGTTAAGTGAGGAGTTACTGTATTAGGCCTGGTCTACACTGGGGGGCGGTGGGTGAGCGAGCTAGGTCGGTCTAAGTTACACAACTTCAGCTACGAAAATAGCATAGCTGAAGTCAACGTACTTAGAGCTTCTTACTGTGGTGTCTTCACTGCGGTAGGTCGACTGCTGATGCTCCCGTTGACTCCGCCTCCGCCTCTCACTCTGGTGGAGTACCGGAGTCGATGGGAGGGTGCTCAGTGGTCGATTTATCGCATCTTCACTAGACGCGATAAATTGACCCCCGCTGGATCGATTGCTCCGGAGGTAAGTGTAGACATGCCCTTAGTGACATCTCTCTAGCAGATGTCTTTTTACAACTTGAGTTCTCTTCAGCACTTGTTGATTTTTCATCAGTGCCTACCTTAAATATTCTCCCCACAAACCTTGTTATTTTTCTGTGCCAGCAGTCTGGTTCCATTTTGAATAAGGTGGAGCCGATCCCTTTTGTATAGAGTGCCCTTCCCACACACAAATTTCCCAATACCTCACAAATTGAACCCCTCTTCTTTATATCATCTTTTCATCTATGAATTGCAACAGTGGAGTCCTGCCCCCAGCATACTTGCTGACCTTCTGCATGATGGAACTGGAAATGTTCGCGAGAAAGTGACCCCAGAAGCTCTGGATGTATAAACCTTTTCCTAGTATTCTAAATTTAATTTCCAAGACTTCTCTACTATATCTGTCTGTGTCATTATTACCAAAATGCAGTTAGCTCTCTTTGCTCCCCAAATCAAGTGTCAATGACATGGCACGTTTAAGATTTCTAAATCTAGATCTTGCATGAAAGCGCATTGTGTTGCTGTTCAGCCACAGGACTGGCCTAATGTTTTACATTTTGTTCAGTTAATACTTTAGAAAAAAAACCAGTTTATTAGTTTCTAAGAAAATGGTTACAGTCAAGTTGTACAGGACAAAAATTGGACCTAAAGGGAATAGAAATTTAGTCCAACATGTTAAACTAATCACTGTGCTGCCAGAAAGCTTATACTTTATTAACTATTGCTTAGCAAAGAGTAAATGCAGTGTGGCTCTGTGTCTGTGTCCAATCTCTGGGTTTGAAATGTAGCTGCTCCCTCTAGATCTAGAATTCTAGTTATGTAATCCTAACTACCAAGAGTCCAAGCAGAATTCAGCCATGCAAAACAAAATTCTTCAGAGCCTTATAATAGATATCAGCAATATATCGGTATCATTGACTGGCAAACCAAGACTCAAAATAATAATATACAGGATGTATCCAACTTAAAAACAAAATGCAGTAGCTATGAGTAGTTTTTAGGCAGATGAAGGAAAAAAACAAGGCCCTAAAACAACTTCAGAATCAGCTGTTTCAGCTTTAGTATGAAGGGTCCCTCCCTGGCAATCATAGAATCATAGAATATCAGGGTTGGAAGGGACCTCAGGAGGTCATCTAGTCCAACCCCCTGCTCAAAGCAGGACCAATCCCCAATTAAATCATCCCAGCCAGGGCTTTGTCAAGCCTGACCTTAAAAACTTCTAAGGAAGGAGATTCTACCACCTCCCTAGGTAACGCATTCCAGTGTTTCACCACCCTCCTAGTGAAAAAGTTTTTCCTAATATCCAACCTAAACCTCCCCCACTGCAACTTGAGACCATTACTCCTTGTCCTGTCCTCTTCTACCACTGAGAATAGTCTAGAACCATCCTCTCTGGAACCACCTCTCAGGTAGTTGAAAGCAGCTATCAAATGCCCCCTCATTCTTCTCTTCTGCAGACTAAACAATCCCAGTTCCCTCAGCCTCTCCTCATAAGTCATGTGTTCCAGACCCCTAATCATTTTTGTTGCCCTTTGCTGGACTCTCTCCAATTTATCCACATCCTTCTTGTAGTGTGGGGCCCAAAACTGGACACTTTACCATACGTTACCATACGTTCTCTAAAATCTCCTACTCCTCAAGCAGGTGTGATCAGCATTTCTGTTTGTTCTTTAAATGCAAATCTAATAATGTAAAACTCACATAGATAGTGTGGTCAAGAATATCCCTGAACTACTTGCAGTTGCTATATTGGATTTGTTCCATTTTGCTATATTAATTCTGATTTTTAGGCACATTTGATATTGTATATGTCAATCCTCAGATATGCATTTCCAAGAAAAAACTTGTATTTTTCATTTTCCTGAGTCCAGTTTGCTCATGAATCCAAGATTTGGCTCTGATTTCCCAGCTCCAGCCAGACTCAAAAAATCTTTAGTTTGTCTCTCAGTGCTGCAACTTTGAAGGAGCAGCACTGTAATATTCAGAAAGAAAAGTAACTGAGGGGTGAGGGAATCAATAATACAGCCAAGAAAACCAAAAGTTTCTATCCCAATAGTGTAAAATTAAATCTAGTGTCTGAAATCTTATCTGGTCTGCTTTGCATTATTCTGGCTCGCTCCACAATCTTGTAACCTCCTTTGAAGTCTCAGTTTTCCCTAACTATAAGTCTCAAGAACTGACCTCAAGCCATTTCTTAATAGGTATAAAAGCTTTCTTTCTCTGTAGTAACATAGGGAAGCCTTCTACACAAAAGCATATTCTGTAATTGCCATGCAAAACAGTTCCCTTAAAACGAACCAACACAAGATTTTCATTACATTGCTTGTTAGTGACCTGTTAAAATCACAGTGCCTTGGCCTTTTGACTGCTGCTGTTTTGTAAGTGGCAATTTTCTCCCCATCTCGAAGTAGGATAGGGATTGCTGAAAAATTCAGCTCTGCACATACAGTAAGGCAACGAAACTTGAGTAAAAGCCTCCAAGTTTATGGAGCCTTGATCAAAAAGCCCATTTACATTATTAAATGTAGTTACTACATTTGTCATCCTATTTTTAAATCCTTTGTTTTCATTGATCATTTCAGAGAAGCACATCCTGATGGCTTACTCTGTTCTTTGAAGCTGTCACACTCAGCTCTTCAGGTTTTATCACAATGGCGAGGTGATTTCATGAAATGAGCTAGATTCTAATCACTGATTTACTGGTACATGTTAATTGCCCTTTAAATATAACTTTTAGAACCCTCCCCAAAAATAGTTGTTAGGTGCTGTATTCGAAGATACTCCACATGTTCAGAGGAAGCCAAGCTGTTCTCTTGACCCTACTTTTACTCTGGACTATTTTTGTTCTGTTTCATAGGGAGGATAAACAGATGCCTTAATAAAGGGGCCCAGACGCTATGGTGATGGGCACTAAAAGTATCTAAGATAGAGCAACAAGTTAGCAAAATGTCCAACAGAATAAAAAATAACCCAGTAAATTATATTATCCAGAAGCAATCACATAATTCCTGACTTTCCTTGGAGAAACTTAAAAAATAAATACTACCACTATCTGTCAGTATCGTAATGCTAATAACAATTAAGGCAGTGAATAGTGCTAAGTTACTGTGATGGTGAGTACTGTAGAAATCCCGAAGGTAGGGCACATGGCAAATGGAAATGGAGAAAAGAGAAGTTTGTCCAGAAGCTGAGTGTATTACGGAGAAGAGAGTGAATGAAAATAGTACCTATGGGAATGTACCTTTTTAAGAAAGAACTAAACTCGGTAAAATTAGCCAAAAGGTAGGTACTGTACAAATAGGCTTTTTACAAAACATCCTCTTGCACCTGTTTGCAACCAGATTTCTCCTAGTACAGGAGAACTGAAAGTGGAAAACAATAGAAGACAGTTGGCAGTTTTTCAAAGAGACATTATTAAGGGCACAAGAGGAAACTATCCCACTGCATAGGAATGATAGGAATTATGGTAAGAGACCACCCTGGCTTAACCAGGAGATCTTCAATGATCTAAAAATCAAAAAAGAGTCCTACAAAAAGTGGAAACTAGGTCAATTACAAAGGATGAATATAAACAAATACTACAAGTAGGTAGGGACAAAATTAGAAAGACCAAGGCTCAAAACAAGATCAAACTAACCAGAGACATAAAGGATAACAAGAAAACATTCTACAAATACATTAGAAGCAAAAGGAAGACCAAGGACAGGGTAGGCCCGTTACTCAATGAGGGGGAAAAAATAATAGAAAATGTGGAAATGGCAGAGGTGCTTAATGACTTCTTTGTTTCGGTTTTCACCAAGAAGGTTGGTGGTGATTGGACATCTAACATCGTGAATGCCAGAGAAAATGAGGTAGGATCAGAAGATGCTAAAATAGGGAAAGAACAAGTTAAAAATTACTTGGACAAATTAGATGTCTTCAAGTCACCAGGTCCTGATGAAATGCTTCCTAGAATACTCAAGGAGCTGACTAAGGAGATATCTGAGCCATAAGCGATTATCTTTGAGAAGTCATGGAAGACTGGAGAGATTCCAGAAGACCGGAAAAGGGCAAATATAGTGCCAAACTATAAAAAGGGAAGTAAGGACAACCCAGGAAATTACAGACCAGTCAGCTTAACTTCTGTACCCGGAAAGATAATGGAACAAATAATTAAGCAATCAATTTGCAAACATCTAGAAGATAATAAGGTGATAAGTAATAGCATGGATTTGTCAAAAACAAATAGTCTCAAACCAACCTGATAGCTTTCTTTGACAGGGTAACAAGCCTTGTGAATGGGGGGAAGCAGTAGATGTGGTATATCTTGATTTTAGTAAAGCTTTTGATACTGTCTCGCATGACCTTCTCATAAACCAACTAGGGAAATGCAAGAAAAATTATTAAAGGTCTAGAAAACATGACCTATGAGGGAAGGTTGAAAAAATTAGGTTTAGTCTGGAAAAGAGAAGACTGTGAGGGGACATAAGTTTTCAAGTGTGTAAAAGGTTGTTACAAGGAGGAGGAAGAAAAATTATTTTTCTTAACCTCTGAGGATAGGACAAGAAGCAATGGGCTTAAATTGTAGCAAGGGAGATTTAGGTTGGACATTAGGAGAAACTTCCTAACTGTTAGGGTGGTTAAACACTGGAATAAATTGCCTAGGGAGGTTGTGGAATCTCCATCTTTGGAGATTTTTAAGGCCAGGTTGGACAAACACTTGTCAGGAATGGTCTAGATAATTAGTCCTGCTATGAGTGTAGGGGACTGGACTAGGTGACCTCTGGAGGTCCCTTCCGGTTCTGTGATTCTAGGAAAATGAGTAGAAATAAAAGTATGCAGTATAGTTGTAACCCTGTCAGTCCCAGTATATTAGAGAGACAAGGTGGGTGAGGTAATATCTTTTATTGGACCAACTTCTATTGGTGAGAGAGACAAGACCAGAAGAGAGGGTTCAGGAAAGATGTTGTTTGATACCTCCGTGTGGGTTCCAGTGTTGGATGATGACAACTATGGGTGTGTAGTTGGAGGGGGTTTATTTCTATTCTTCTAACAACCCCCTAACCTCTCCAAGCTCATTATCAGAAACAAGCTCCCCACAGACCAGGACATCATCTCAAAGCAGCACCAGGCTCTGCCAGAACAACATATGCAAAATCTGCAGACATATCTCCACTGCTACAATGATCATCACCCCCACAACACACCTTTCAAGATCCAGGGGTTCTATGCATGCCTATCACAACATGGGGTGTATCTCATCCAGTGCACTTAAATGCCCCCATAACAATCGTGTGAGTGAAACCAATCACTACAGTCTCGAATAAACTCATAGAAGAAGATGATAAAAGACAAAAACACCGTATCACCGGTGGGTGAACACTTTTCACAAAGTGATCACTCTGTATCTGACTTATTAGGTGTCATCCTCAAAGAAAACCTGCACAACACTTTCAAAAGTGGGAGCTTAAATTCACAACTTTGCTAGACACTGAAATCATGATCTTAATAAAGACACTAGATTTATGGCTTATTTCAACAATCTGGAACCCACTAACTCCCCTTTTTGTCCTATGACTACAGGGGTGTTCATGGGCCACTTCACCTTGAATGGTTAGAATATGTGCTAACTACTTATACTAAACTATCTGTTCGACCTTGTATTTAGCTGTGACACTCTGAGTTCCTTTCCCAGACCTGAGGAAGAGCTCTGTATAGCTCTAAAGCTTGTCTCTCTCACGAACTGAAGTTGGTCCAATAAGATATTACCTCACCCACCTTGTTGATCTAGAAATAAAAGTACAAGTCTTTATTGTACCACATGAGAGAAATGCAAAAAGTAAACAAGTAGCATAAAGATTTTTTTAAAACAATTCTTCCTTTTTAAAGAAAAGCCACTTAGATCAGCATCAACCCTGACCATTGAATGCATGGCTTGATATTGATCTAGAGTCCTCAATCAAATGAGTTTGGTGGTATGAACTCAATGCATTTTTATAATAGCCTGTATCTTAATAGCTTCTTGATTTTCACCAGAGTTGTCCCTGTTTGGGAAGAAGTCTCTCTTGTGCTGTTCCTTTTGCAGGATCCCTTGGTATTTTCTGCTTTTGCTTGCTTGCTTTCACTCCTGAAAACTCCCCCTCCTTCCCCCCACGATTCCCTATTTTGAAGTGACTTTGTTTTATTTTAGCACAGCTGCATGCTGTCTTTGTTCTGTGGGTCCTTGATGAGCCATGGCATCCTCTGCCCTGCTGCTTTAAATAGCAGCCATGCAGAAGATTCAAGGGAGCATCAAAGATCAGAAGGCATTGGTCAACATGCAGCTGAGGTGAGAACAAAGCAGTCTCTTTGGAGGAGGAATGGGCACAGATGGAGAACAAGAAGAGGAGTAGATGTGGGAGCTAAAGTCAGGAAATGGAGCAGTGAGTTGTGGAAGTGGGAGAGGAGGAAGGCATTTGTGAAAAACAATGTAATTTTATCAGACCTGAGATTCCCAGATGTAATGGAATAAAGGATTTGGACTTTGAAGAATGTTTTGTGAAGAAAAGAAACTTGGGATGAACTGAGGTTGTCCTCTTAAGACTCCTCTCCGTAGCGTGTTCTCCTTCTACTCTTTTTCTCCTCCTACTGACTTACATTTGTGAAGCCAGAATGTAAATATGCATTTGAATCCCCACAGTAATCCTACCACCTTTTAAGGATTGGGGCGTGTACAAAGGGAAGCTGCATGTGCTGGGTAAAGTAGAGCATGGGGGCTATGTACAGCTGCCTGATTTTCCTGCTGTCATCCCATTGCAGGTTAAGCAGCCTGAGATCTGTTCTAACTTGTGCCACCCGGGGATAGCTGGGGTGTCCCCCACTCCCTATGCTAGTGACTACAAGGAGTGAGACCAAGGAGCCAGTATACCAGCTTTACACCTATATTGACTCCCCAATGCTGATGGATTCCATCCAGCCAGGGACTTAAGGAGGCTTAGGTTTCTTGTGCGTTGCCTAAGTGGCATACACAAGCCAAAACATTTGTTTCCATTGCCCCTTTCGTTATTGATAATGAGCAAATATGATGAAGAAATCTTCCTTGAAAAGAGAATAATGGAAGCAAAATTTAATTTCTTCTGATGCTGAGCACTGTTTACTCCTGAATACCCACTTAATTTAGTACCACATTTACCTACTCAGCTAAAAAACAACAACAGTTCCACATGGTTCATTTCTGTATCTACCTGGAAGTTCAGTGTGATTTTGTTAGCAGAAGTAATTTTCAATGCACTAATCAGACTTTGTGTTTTCTTCTTTGCAGTGTTACTTATTTTTATATTGCACAAGCTGGCGGAATGTCAAATCTTTCCTGACTTTTGGTTTAATTTGCCTATGTAACATGTATCTGTATGAACTGCGCAATCTCTGGCAGCTCTTCTTCCATGTGACAGTGGGAGCGTTTTCAGCATTACAAATACGACTAAGACAACCACAAGGGAAGTCCCCTGATTACAATGTCTGACCCAAGTCCTGGGATGTCCCAAGGCAGTCTTGGTCCACCCATGGTTCCCTCTCAGGAATGAAAAGCTTTTCTCCAAAAGAAGAAGTTGGTGGTTGTTTTTTTTTGTTTGTTTTTTTGTTTTTAAAGATCAACGTAAGATGCCTGTGGACGTTTGTGACTTGAGAATTTAGACTTATCCTCATTGAAGACTGAAGACACAAAGAATACAGGATTAGTAGAGGAAAATGGGTCCTTTTCCATGCAGAGAATTGTCCCTTGAGGACAAATAAAAGTTTGGAGAACTTGACTGATAGCAGGAAAAAGCCTCCTTCAAAAGTATGATAATGGCAAAGATGTGTGTATATATAGGGCATGTTCTGCATATCAAGTGAGCGTTCCAATTCCAAAATCAGTTTTGCCTTTGTGAGGCAGTAGTATAGGCTGAATACAAAGATGCTATTGCATAATAACAGACTAGATTGGAATGAGTGAGTTACTAAATGTGAGAATATTGGATTGCACATTAAATTTAATGGGATGTGTGTATGTGTTTTCTTAATTAAAGCCTAACCTGGAAACCATCTGTTTATGGGGATTAGCTCCTTGGTCCCAGTGGCCTTCCATCTAGTCCTGAATTAACTATAAATCTTGGTAAATATTTTTCTCTGTATAATTTGCTTTTAATGATCTTTTGAAAGTGACCTTTATGGACAAGTTTTATTTAAGTAAATAACCTAAAATTCTGTCTTTTGGCCCATGATTCTTGCTCTCCTCCTCTATTTGAACACTAGAATTTTGAAAAGAAGTTGACAGGTGGGTAAACAGACATTGATTTGCAACCTGTTTGAGATATTGCTTGTGTCTCTCTATGCATTTTATGAGATGGATTAATAGCTGAAACTTAATTTAGCATATAGGCTATATATATATATAGGTGGTAAGCTTATTTCCAACAAACATAAACTGAGTTAAAAAAAATCCTTTTTGGATCCAGGGATTTTGTTGGTTCTGGTAGCTTTACATTTTACTGAATTGGAGTCAAACCTCATTAATTTGTATTAGTGGCTGGGACATCTTTGTAGAGTCCCAGAGTTTGTGAATTAATTAGCAGATGAACAATCAAGGCCATTACATTGCATTCTATTTATTTTCACAATCCTATTTTGTGTTAATTATTTCCAGTGCTTTATAGTACACTGGGAAATATATTTTAATATAGTTTGCTCAAGTTTTAATAGCAGGAGGGCTTCCACATTGCTTGTGAGCATTACTAGGCTTGGCGATTAGTGATGTTCTGCTTTACTATAAAATGTTACTCATCAGATCTCTGTAGGCGGTCCCCACCTAAAATGTTCTCTTCAGTAATTTATTGGCAATCAAGCAGAAAGCAGAGAAGAAATACCTAGACTGGGAACAACTATTATTCTTTTTAAAGGAAGTGACCTTACTCAAGGTCAAGGATGAGGCTTTCTTCCGGCAGCTCGCGGAAGCTACTAGATCGCACGCCCTGGTTCTCATGGGTGACTTTAATTTTCCTGATATCTGCTGGGAGAGCAATACAGCGGTGCATAGACAACCCAGGAAGTTTTTGGAAAGTGTAGGGGACAATTTCCTGGTGCAAGTGCTAGAGGAGCCAACTAGGGGGGGAGCTTTTCTTGACCTGCTGCTCACAAACCGGGAAGAATTAGTAGGGGAAGCAAAAGTGGATGGGAATCTGGGAGGCAGTGACCATGAGTTGGTTGAGTTCAGGATCCTGACACAGGGAAGAAAGGTAAGCAGCAGGATACGGACCCTGGACTTCAGGAAAGCAGACTTCGACTCCCTCAGGGAACGGATGGGTAGGATCCCCTGGGGGACTAACGTGAAGGGGAAAGGAGTGCAGGAGAGCTGGCTGTATTTCAAGGAATCCCTGTTGAGGTTACAGGGACAAACCATCCCGATGTGTCGAAAGAATAGTAAATGTGGCAGGCGACCAGCTTGGCTTAATGGTGAAATCCTAGCGGATCTTAAACATAAAAAAGAAGCTTACAAGAAGTGGAAGGTTGGACATGTGACCAGGGAAGAGTATAAAAATATTGCTCGGGCATGTAGGAATGAAATCAGGAGGGCCAAATCGCACCTGGAGCTGCAGCTAGCGAGAGATGTTAAGAATAACAAGAAAGGTTTCTTCAGGTATGTTGGCAACAAGAAGAAAGCCAAGGAAAGTGTGGGCCCCTTAATGAATGAGGGAGGCAACCTAGTGACAGGGGATGTGGAAAAAGCTAATGTACTCAATGCTTTTTTTGCCTCTGTCTTCACTAACAAGGTCAGCTCCCAGACTGCTGCGCTGGGCATCACAACATGGGGAATAGATGGCCAGCCCTCTGTGGAGAAAGAGGTGGTTAGGGACTATTTAGAAAAGCTGGACATGCACAAGTCCATGGGGCCGGATGAGTTGTATCCGAGAGTGCTAAAGGAACTGGCGGTTGTGATTGCAGAGCCATTGGCCATTATCTTTGAAAACTCGTGGCGAACCGGGGAAGTCCCGGATGACTGGAAAAAGGCTAATGTAGTGCCAATCTTTAAAAAAGGGAAGAAGGAGGATCCTGGGAACTACAGGCCAGTCAGCCTCACTTCAGTCCCTGGAAAAATCATGGAGCAGGTCCTCAAAGAATCAATCCTGAAGCACTTACATGAGAGGAAAGTGATCAGGAACAGTCAGCATGGATTCACCAAGGGAAGGTCATGCCTGACTAATCTAATTGCCTTCTATGATGAGATTACTGGTTCTGTGGATGAAGGGAAAGCAGTGGATGTATTGTTTCTTGACTTTAGCAAAGCTTTTGACACGGTCTCCCACAGTATTCTTGTCAGCAAGTTAAAGAAGTATGGGCTGGATGAATGCACTATAAGGTGGGTAGAAAGTTGGCTAGATTGTCGGGCTCAACGCGTAGTGATCAATGGCTCCATGTCTAGTTGGCAGCCGGTGTCAAGTGGAGTGCCCCAGGGGTCGGTCCTGGGGCTGGTTTTGTTCAATATCTTCATAAATGATCTGGAGGATGGTGTGGATTGCACTCTCAGCAAATTTGCGGATGATACTAAACTGGGAGGAGTGGTAGATACGCTGGAGGGCAGGGATAGGATACAGAGGGACCTAGACAAATTGGAGGATTGGGCCAAAAGAAATCTGATGAGGTTCAATAAGGATAAGTGCAGGGTCCTGCACTTAGGACCGAAGAACCCAATGCACAGCTACAGACTAGGGACCGAATGGCTAGGCAGCAGTTCTGCGGAAAAGGACCTAGGGGTGACAGTGGACGAGAAGCTGGATATGAGTCAGCAGTGTGCCCTTGTTCCAGAGAGAATGGTTCTAGACTATTCTCAGTGGTAGAAGAGGACAGGACAAGGAGTAATGGTCTCAAGTTGCAGTGGGGGAGGTTTAGGTTGGATATTAGGAAAAACTTTTTCACTAGGAGGGTGGTGAAACACTGGAATGCGTTGCCTAGGGAGGTGGTGGAATCTCCTTCCTTAGAAGTTTTTAAGGTCAGGCTTGATGGAGCCCTGGCTGGGATGATTTAATTGGGGATTGGTCCTGCTTTTGAGCAGGGGGTTGGACTAGATGACCTCCTGAGGTCCCTTCCAACCCTGATATTCTATGAAGGGGAACCAGGTGCCCAAGACCAAGGTAATTTACAGAGAATGGAATCAGTCCTAAATGAACAGCAGTGGTATGTATTTTTTGATGCACTCTTTATTATAATCTCTTTCTAAGACCTATGTAATTAAGAGGCTGAAAATATCTTGGTGCATGTGGGATCTAAGATAATTGTTGCAGGGGAGTGCTTTGCCTTTGAACCTTTTTATTATTTGTTTTATTCATCCAGCAAATAGAATGGGGATGCATTTGTTTGGTCTTGTATGTTCCCATTATGACAATTTTGTTGGTATTTTGGGGCAGTGTGGGAAGGAAAGGAAGGAGGAAGATTTGAAATTTAAACACAGGAAGAGGCGTACCTGCAGGAATACAAGGATTTCAATAATGTTAGTTAAACCCTTAGTTTTAAACAGCTGAGACTACCCACTGCCAAACAACACATGTTCCATTAGATTGCAGTGCACCTTTTGAAATCAGGACACCTGAAACACCCAAATAAATCTTTCACTGTTTTAAACTTGGGGTTTGAAATATGGATATTGTGTGTTTAGTACAAACTAAAGCTTTCATCTTTTCAACACACTCCCTTAAGCCAAAAATTCTGGGGGTTTTTTTGGCTTTGGGGGTTTTTTTGTTTTAAAAAAATGTGCAAAAATCACTCGGGAACTTTACTTTGTTATGCTGATACATTTAGGACCCAATCCGACTCCCAGAGAAGTCAGTAGAAAACCTCCCATTGACTTGATTGAGTGCAGCTCCCTCTTAAGCCTAGTTCTGATGAATTTAATGGTGCTTAGGTCTTGAGTGAATTTCACCCAGAGGAAATTGGAGTTGCTTCTTGTTGGGGAAAAAAGAGGTCATGAAGAAGTAATTGTACAGGTTACTTATGGAAGCAGCCCAATGCAAGTCAATGGGAATACTAGCATGTGTATTGAATACTTACATGAACGTGGGTTGCAGGATTGGGCTTGGTATTTGTAACTTCTGCAGTTAATGAATAAACTGTTTGCAAGATAGTGCTTTTAGCTCATTATCAGGAAACTGAACAATTAGCATTATAAACCTGCTCTGTTGGAAGGTCTAAAATAGTTCTTCTACCACTACTCAGTTCACCTCAGTTGTAGTACTAAAAATGCTATTAGGAAGTACCTCTTTGTTCCAGTCTTGTGTCCTTATGCAGATGTAGGCTTTTCTGCCCTGTCAGTGGCTGCTGATGTATCAGTCTGAGAAGTCTTGCAAGTGTCTGTTTTTCCTTTTAATCTTCTTTCTTTACCCCTACTTTTCAAAGGATGTTCTCCCTTGCTGTAACATCTAGAGCCATTACTGTTACTAGTGGCATAAACAAACTGCTGATTTAACAGATGTAATGAGCAAATACAACTGTCAGACAGATTTTAACTATGCTTGTTGAAAAAATCACAATTTACAGTGAAGAGATAATGTCTACTCTCCAGCTGTGACAGTTCCTCACAAATTCATTACTAAACATGTAAGCTAGTAATACATATTAGAAGATGTCCAGAACTGTTTTTATGCACAAACTTCATGTGAGTAGTTAGAATATTTGAACTTTTTCTATGCACGGGTTTGGAAAATGCACCCTGTTATGGGCCACTGAGCCACTGAAGTCAATGGCAAAATTTCCCTTGACTTAGTGGGGCCAAGACTGTGCCCACTGGATCTCATCCAGTACTCACTGAAGTCAACGAGACATTCCATTGACTTCACTAGATGTTGGATCAGGTTCATGAGGACAGATTCTGTACTGGTTACAGTCCAAGTCTGATTCAAATTGGAGTTGTGCAAGGAAAAGGGCCTGATTCTGATAGGTGCTGGGTGCATTCAGTGGGACATCAGTGGAAGCTGAGGCCACTCAGCGTCCTATTAGAGGTTAAGCTCTGAGGCAGACTGGATCCAGTATATGCAAAAAGAATGAAAATAAACAAAACTTGAGTCCATTCAAATTTGATTAATTAGGAATGTTCAAATGCCTCACGAGAGCTTTTTAAAACACACGTAGTTTTGTTTATTATTGTTTCCCTGTGTGTTTCCTGACCCCTTTCATGGTACTGTGTGGTATTTTTTCATTGTGGTATTTTTTCATTGATTTCTTTTTTTTAAATACCTGAATAAAAATGTGAAACTTTTAAGCATCTCTCGTACAGATGATTAAATTTTTTTTGTTTTTTCTTTTTTCTCTCCAGCAACCAGCCTTTTCTCAGGCACTGAACAATAACCAGCCCTCTCTGTTTTGTGCTTTTTCTAGCCATCTTTAGTAGGTTAACTACCCAAATGTGCATAAAATGTAGAATAATATCAAAAGTCTCTAGGAAAATACAGTTTTTGGTTTTTTTTTTTTGTGTGGAAGTTTGAGTATGTAGTTGGTAATGTATCAGGTTCAATCCAATCACTTTTTTGTCCTAAAGAACTCATTTTCTCTGCATCAAATGACTGAGGAGAGAGAGACTTTAAAACAAGTGTTCTGTCAGGTTTTTTTAAATGGTGAGGTTATTCATCACCCATTGCTGTATCTTTAATAATCAGTAGTTTCTTTAGCAAAGAAGAAATGACATCTGTTTAGGCTTCTCACCCCCCCCCTCCCCCAGAACTGCTTTTTTTGAATCCCTGATTATCTATTAAGTAGATATGAATTAACATTTACAAACACTAAACATACGCTCTTTTGGCTTGGCACTTGGCAAGACTATAACAGCAGGAAAGCAACATGTTTGTGTATCAGTCACCCATTGTAAAAATGCATGTGTGAATGCTAGTAGTATTAGTGGTTTTGCATAATTGAATGCGTTGCAGAGACATTTTACTTTTATTTTTTTTTTTTTAGTGATCGCGGAAGAAAGCCCCAGCAGTACTCTGATCCTGCAATTAGATCCATAAGGGCACAGGAATCTGCTTCTAGAATCCCCAGTAATTTCAATAGGGGTCTGCTTGTGTGGATCCATCTGCATAATTGGGACAAAAAAATCTGTAAACTTCGCCATCTCTAAGTGATTTTACAGGGGTTTTACATATGAAATTGTATTCATCACGTACGCAGCTCCATTGACCCAATTGTTAAGTGTAAGAGAGATTGGATAATATATTGAGAGGATATAATTATTCATGATGGGACAAAATTAAGACAAGGAAAATGTAGGCTCAAGATCCTGAAAAACTTCCTGACAATGAGATGGATTAGGCTAGAGAATAACCTTCCAGGAGAAGTGGTGGAAGCTGTTTCTTGGCATACAAACATTAGGCTAGACAAAAAACACTGATATGTAGACAAAAGGGAAGAGTCATGCATGGGCAGGAAGATTATCTTGGAATTTGGGGTCTAATTGGACTTTTTTTCTGTGAATTAATGTTCAGAAAGCACTTTCAAGATGAAGTCATCACAACCAAGCTATAAGTTGTTCACATTACAAAAAAACTCACTCTTGTCTAATGAGTTAGCTAGAAAAAAGTGACATGGGTTTTTTGGTTTCCTTCAGCTGCTTTTGGTCACTTTAGCTGAGAGAATTCCTAGTATCAGGTAAGTATTGGATACAGCATGCCCTCTCCTTAGCAAATTCTACTATCTCTGATTTTTATGATGCTATGTTTGGTTTTGGTTGTTTAAAGAAAAGTGGTGTTAACATAGTGGCTTGCCTGAAGTGTAAAATAGTTTGTTTCCAGCAGATGGCAATATTTGTATACCTCTGAGATTAAAAAAGGGAAATTCAGATTCTGGGGAAATGTAGCAAGTACAGTACTGATTGTAGATTTCTAGTCTAACACATTTCCCCCTCCCCCCAGGGCAAGATTCAAGATATCTTTACTCTGGCAGGAGGAATTCTATAACCAAAGGAAATAGAGGTTATTTGAATTTAATCATAATGGTTTTTATTAATTTTTTTAAATTGTCCTTGTTTTCACTTGTAAAGAGTAAACTCAGTTAAAAAAAAATATCACTCTCCATGATAGGTTAATCAATCTAAATCCATGCTCAGTACCAGGGCCTGACCATTTAGTGCTTGAAAAATTATACCTCTCAATCAGCTTTTTTAATATTTTGAGATTATTGTATGAACTCCAAGGTTGCTGTACCTAAGTCCTAGAGGCTGAAATCAGCAGGTTCCTCCATAGCATGCACAGGGAGAGAGCGGACAGGGCGACACTAGAGCCTTTGCAGCAGAGTAGCTGTGCCGCTGTAGGTGCTCTCAACTGCTGGGGGAGAGCTCTCCGGTCAGCTGAACGACTGCCACGGGGGCTGGAGCCGCTCTCCTGGTGCCACAGCGCTGTCCACACGGGCTCAGGGGGTGAGTTACACCAACACCAGTGGTGGTTCAGATGTTGCCTCAGGTTCAAGGCCTTGCTCCAATAAATACTTAAAGTGAAAAAGCTCCTTGGCTGTGGGGCAGCATCAGCACGTGTGTTGCTCGGCCCATGCCTACGAGCAGCCATACAGACGCGGACAGTGTTAGGACAACGGTGGTGCCTAAATGTTGGATATAAACACCTACATGCTTAAATCTCTTTGCAAATCTGGCTATTAGGTGTTCTTCTGAAGAAAACTAGTTCCCCTTCCAGTTGTCCTGGGGAGTTAGCGTGGTAACAGAATGTGGCATTCCAACCTTGCTCTCAGTGCTAGGAGGTATAGCTTGACCCCTTAAACAGAAGTGCCTCATCCTTCTAATGCCTAGGCATGTTAACAAGTCTGTTCCTTAAAATTGTGTTGTACGTCACACAAGCTAACTTTGAAAGTAGAAGCAAACAAATCATGTGCAGCAAAACTCTAGCATTGTAGGTAGGGTAGCTATTTCAAAGTAAGATGATTTACTAGCATCTATTTAAATATGCCAGCTATAACCAGGTTTTCTGATATTGGCTCCAATTTACCTTAGGCAGTTCCTCAATACACAGTACACACATAGTGGGGCGTTCATAGTACAAATAAGAGGATCTGTGCTTAAATAGTCTCACAGTAGATAACCTGGATTGGGCAATGGGTCACAAAACTCCATTCAACTAGAGTTCTAGGTTTTCTATACAGAACACATCAGTTACATTACATTTAAATATGGAACATTAAAATTTGTGCATAATTATCTGATGCACAATTACGGCTCTTCACAAGCCAGCTAGATCTTAAATAAAACGTAGAACAAAGCCATGTTACCAGTGAAACAGTGTTTAATATAGTTAAATTACTTAAATAGATTTCAATTTCCATGGGAAATCATAACGGTATCAATTTTTATAGGAGCTAAAATAAAGAGTGTGTATACCCCTTGAAATGATCATGACACACTGTCAACAATCACAGTCAGAGATACTGGGGACTCGAAATATCATTGACAACACAGCTGCGCAAGGTGGAGCAGCAGACTGATCAAAAGTTAAGAATACAGACTTTAGTAAAGTAGAAAGCAAACCTAAATATGAATGTACATCATGAAGATAATGAAACTCACTGAGTGGTAGAAAGGGATAGAAGGGGGAAGGGAAGGGAGTGGTCATTGTGCCATGTAACAAAAGTATTTTGCAAATCAGAAAATGCAAAGCAGCAAAAGTATAGTACAAGGGCAGACTTGGCAGTTTTACAGAAATCAATATACTATACTTTTCAAGGATGTGGCCTATTAAAGGGGAAAAGGAAGGATCAGCGGGGTGCCATTTAAGCTCAAGTTTAAATGGCTGGATGCTAAGCAACATAGTAAATTAATTAGGACAGGCCCATGCATTTTAACTTACTCTTGTTGTAAAAAATAAAGTGAAACACTTATTTTATAAATCACCACTATAGTGCAATCATTAAGTTGTTAATACAGTAATTTTTGCCCTGAGAAGAGTCTAAAAGAACTTTACTGAATGTCAAAATATGAGTCATTTTAGTGATAGCCAAATTCAGTATCAAAACTCTCCCCTCATAGAATATAAAAAATAGGGCTTTAAAATGCTTTTTAAAAAATAAAATAGCAAGGGTTTATTTTTTTACAAGTTAAAAAAGGTACATAAATCATAGCGAATTATTCATATACCCCCCCTCTCGCCCCCGGTAGTAAGAGGATATGTTCAACATGATATCTGTGTCACTCTAAAGATCTCCTGAATCCACATACAAATTATCCATCTGTCTTGTTTTTAAAAAGACAGAATCATCTAACTCTTAAAATAGCTGTGAATCATTAATTTAATTAAATGTCTGCTACAAGATAGTCAACCTGGCAATGCAGTACATAGTTCTTTGTAAAGGCAAATGGCACTTAGAGTCTCTTGGACACTTTTTTGTATTATCAGGCTTCTATTAATAGCTGCTGTGAGAAAATAATTTTAAAGGAATTGTTAAAGTGATCTTATTTTTGTTCCAGTGTGACAGTTTTTGCTACCTTCAGATGAAGATTTGCTTAGTGCTCTTCCCTGTTATGCTTGTCTGATATTCTCGACAGCTCAGTTATTTATCATGCCTCCTAATTCCATTCACTGCACTCTATCACCCCCCAGCTGCATCTTGAATCCTGAAATGAACAGTTGTTTGTAATGATTATTGTACTTGATTTCTGTAGGGTTTTCTGAATTTTCACTTAAAAATGCATCTGACTCGGCCTGCAATCTCATCAAGGGTTGTTTGATTGTTTACTCTTAGTCTGAAAACTGCCAAGTCTGTATTCAGAGAATAATGCACGGAATGTTACATAGTTCTGCAGGTTATATATACACAACCCACCACACGCTGGTGTGGACAGACTTTTTTCTAATATATATAATTTACAAAATATAGAATTTGGTATATCTGTTAGATCTCCATGTTTTCAATATTACAAAATAAAAAATACAAAAACAAGAAAGTTGAGGGGGATTCCCCCTAAAGTGTCTCTTGTTTTCATCTAGTCTTTCACATGTAAACTGATATAGTGTATATATACCAAAGAAGAGCACAGAAGACTTTCATTTAATAAATATGTTTGCAGAGCCATGTTTCCTCATCTTGATCTTAGGTGTACCAGTCCTATTCAGAAGAGTAGTCTGTTAGCCATGTAAGGGAAAGGGGACAGTTTTATATGGCAAGGTGTCTTTTTCAAACTTAAAAACATTACCGATGCTGTTCTGAAAGGCCTTTTGTGTAGAATAGTGGGTGTCACTTTTAATTTTGAAAGCCTATCCAAACAGCCAATAAAAGAATAGGGGTACACTTGAAAGAGTTGACCGTATGGAACGGAAACATTATAGGAGTGCAAATCCTTTCCAAAATAATGCTTTGTAGTGAATCATACATTCCTTCAACCAAGTAAAATTTTGTGTAGCTTCAATAAATATTTAAATATCTTATGTCCTATGCAGCAGCATCATTTTCAAAGCTCCAATTCATTTCTTTTATCTGGGAATTCTATAGAGGTGCATCTTTGGTCGATTTAGCACTCCACTGGGAATTAATCCACAGTGTTTTCTTTCTTCTGCACTGCATGGCATATGGCTAAAGTTTGTTTGCTTGTCAGAACCATGCTCTAAAGTCGTTGCATGAAAAAATGCAACTGCGCTGTATTTTTGGGTCCAGAGCTAAACAGCAATTCTTCTCCATGCAAATACCATTTTTAAAGTTGTGCCATGGTTGCTGCTAACTGAGCGGTGGCCCTTCGTTTAGGAAGTAGGTGGTCATTTCTCCTTTACCCTTTACCTTAACGACCCCTCGACATTCCAGCTGATAGCTGTTGGCTGCTAAAACCTGGTACATGTCTGTGGTCACCTGCAGAGAAAGAATAGATTAGAAGTGATAGCAGAACTGATAAACTTGCTCTACCCATCTCTCTTCAGCCATGTAATCCGCACATGCAATTAATTTTGTTTTGTTAAAATTTTCTTATTTGTATCAACCAGTTTATAGGAAGGTGGCCAGCACAAGTTATGTAACTACTACAAGCTGCAAACAATGAGTTTCAAGGTCATATTGGATACATCAGCTGCTCTCCAGCTGAGGGTCATGATTCTAGAGGCTGGGAAGAAAATATTACTAGTAGTTCCACTTCATGAATCCACTATTCTTCTGAAGTTGATTTGCTAGAGGGGGAGGCCAGGTTACAAGGGATCACAATATGAAAAAGGTAAGTCAGAGTTATAAGCTTGCCTCTAGAACCCAGGTAAAGTGCTAGGTCATGATCCCAAAGGGGGGAAAGGAAATATCCCATTTCATGTCTCCAGTATCTGCTTACATTAAGGAGGTGGGGTGCAGATCACAATATGAAAAAGGTTAGTCATAGTTAAGGTTAAGATTCTGTCACAGGTATTTTTAGTAAAAGTTATGGACAGCTTGCGGGCAATAAACAAAAATGCTTAGGCTTGCAGCTGCTCCAGCCCCCCCACTGCTCCTGTGGCAGGTGCTGACCATTGCTGCTCCAGCCCCTGGGGGACTGACCCAACCCCAACCGCTGCTCTGACAGGCCAGCTGTTTGGTGGCACCAGGGCTGACCGCTGGTTAGCTGTTCTGGCAGCCTCCATCCTGGCTGCTGCTCCAGTGGTCCCAGAGCCAGCTGCTGCCATTTGTTTTGGGGGCCACTGCTTCAGGGCTGGCTACTGCTCCGGCAACCCTGGGGCTGGCCGCTGGCCACCTGTTCTGGCAGCTGCTGCTGCTCTAGCAGCCCTGTCCCAGAAGAAGTAATGGCATCCGTGACCTCTGTGACAGATTCGTATCCTTAGTCATAGTACTAAGCTACTGCATCTAGAACCCAGGCGCAATGCTTGGCAATGTTCCTGTGAAAGTAGGGTGCGGTTAGGGAAGTAGGTTGGAAATTCATTTAAATTGTGGCCCCTATGAAGTAAACCCTTAAATGGATAATACACGACTCATGTCATTTCTCAGGAAGCTGCAAACAAACAATCAAACTGGAAACACACTAGGTGATCAAATTGGGTGAAAGACAACAAGGATTGTTCAGGCACTATCCCATTTCATTCTGCAGTTTAAGGCAGCTGCCATTCAAATATACCCATTTGTTACATAGAAGAACATTTTCAAGGGGGTATTTTCAAATTTTCAAATATATTTAGTTGCCTAAAGAAGCAGTTTAGGCTGCTTTTCTGAAAATCCAACTAGACACCTAACTACTTCTGAAAAGCTAGCCCCAAATCCTTTCAGTTTAGGGCCTAGCACCTGACATCTGTACACAGAAAAGCTGATCCAGTCATCCTCTGGCAAGAGTCCACTGATTTTCCATTGCCTGATAGATCCTGAAATCTAACTGCACTCATTGTGTTAACTATCAGTGTGGGCAAAGTGACTGATAATTTTCTGAACTCTCCTTTGAGTATTGTGTTGTATATATGTCATACCCATCTATTTATCAGCTCACAATGCAGCTCATTAAAATATGGTCACTGCAGATTGATCTACCGCAGACTCTGTTCAGTGCAGAATTGTTCCTTACAACGTTTTCTCATGCTCTGTTCTCTGGGTTTATATGTTTCCACGTCTACCTTCATAGGGCTGGAAAGTCACCAGTCTAATCTGTTTTACTAGAGAGAAAACTGCTCACAGATATTCTTAGGTAGAAAAGTTTTAATAAATAGTGATCCAGTTAACTCTCAGTTTAGCTGAAAAACACACAATCCTCACTTGGATGTGGCATCATTTACTCTTATTGATGATTTTTATACCTCTGCAGTATGGTACTGAGGAATGATGATACACAACAGTGTTTAAGAGAAAACAAGACTGTATGTGCCATGTGACAATGGAAATGAATTGCTGGAAAGGTCACTCTCTTTGAACACTGAACAAGGAGCTTGATTAGAATAAGAAAGATTGCATTAACCTTAAAACTACTCTCTCTCTCTGCTTCTCTAGGGAAATGCCTGTCTGAAATCCTTCTACAGTTTTGAAGAAAGAGTATATATATACTCTCACAGAATACAGGGCATCATTGTGACAGAGAAAATTAAAGACATTGTAGTTTGTGGAAAATGCTGCTTACAACAGATAACAGTAGCCACAGAAACAAGTTTGTGAGGCAAGTCCTAGTAAACCAAAATAGCTCTAAGATTCTCCTTGCTTTTCTTTAGCAGTGAGGTTGTGTGGC